ATCATCTCCCACAACACCTGAAACAGTCACACCATCATTCTCATTTCATTATGCTGTCCCAACATGTCATTTAACAATCATCTCCCACAACACCTGAAACAGACACACCATCTTTCTCATTTCATTATGCTGTCCCAACATGTCATTCAACATATGTCGCCCACAACACCTGAACAGACACACCATCTTTCTCATTTCATTATGCTGTCCCAACATGTCATTCAACAATCATCTCCCACAACACCTAAAACAGACACACCATCATTCTCATTTCATTATGCTGTCCCAACATGTCATTCAACAATCATCTCCCACAACACCTGAAACAGACACACCATCATTCTCATTTCATTATGCTGTCCCAACATGTCATTCAACAATCATCTCCAACAACATCTGAATAGACACACCATCATTCTCATTTCATTATGATGTCCCAACATGTCATTTAACAATCATCTCCCACAACACCTGAAACAGACACACCATCTTTCTCATTTCATTATGCTGTCCCAACATGTCATTCAACAATCATCTCCCACAACACCTGAAACAGACACACCATCTTTCTCATTTCATTATGCTGTCCCAACATGTCATTCAACAATCATCTCCCACAACATCTGAACAGACACACCATCATTCTCATGTCATTATGCTGTCCCAACATGTCATTCAACATATGTCGCCCACAACACCTGAAACAGACACACCATCATTCTTATGTCATTATGCTGTCCCAAAATGTCATTTAACAATCATCTCCCACAACATCTGAACAGACACACCATCATTCTCATGTCATTATGCTGTCCCAACATGTCATTCAACATATGTCGCCCACAACACCTGAAACAGACACACCATCATTCTTATGTCATTATGATGTCCCAACATGTCATTCAACATATTTCGCCCACAACACCTGAAACAGACACACCATCATTCTCATGTCATTATGCTGTCCCAACATGTCATTCAACATATGTCGCCCACAACACCTGAAACAGACACACCATCATTCTCATGTCATTATGCTGTCCCAACATGTCATTTAACAATCATCTCCCACAACACCTGAACAGACACACCATCATTCTCATGTCATTATGCTGTCCCAACATGTCATTCAACATATGTCGCCCACAACACCTGAAACAGACACACCATCATTCTTATGTCATTATGCTGTCCCAAAATGTCATTTAACAATCATCTCCCACAACATCTGAACAGACACACCATCATTCTCATGTCATTATGCTGTCCCAACATGTCATTCAACATATGTCGCCCACAACACCTGAAACAGACACACCATCATTCTCATGTCATTATGCTGTCCCAACATGTCATTCAACATATGTCGCCCACAACACCTGAAACAGACACACCATCATTCTTATGTCATTATGCTGTCCCAACATGTCATTTAACAATCATCTCCCACAACACCTGAAACAGTCACACCATCATTCTCATTTCATTATGCTGTCCCAACATGTCATTTAACAATCAACTCCCACAACACCTGAAACAGACACACCATCTTTCTCATTTCATTATGCTGTCCCAACATGTCATTCAACATATGTCGCCAACAACACCTGAACAGACACACCATCTTTCTCATTTCATTATGTTGTCCCAACATGTCATTCAACAATCATCTCCCACAACACCTAAAACAGACACACCATCTTTCTCATTTCATTATGCTGTCCCAACATGTCATTCAACAATCATCTCCCACAACACCTGAAACAGACACACCATCATTCTCATTTCATTATGCTGTCCCAACATGTCATTCAACAATCATCTCCAACAACACCTGAATAGACACACCATCATTCTCATTTCATTATGATGTCCCAACATGTCATTTAACAATCATCTCCCACAACACCTGAAACAGACACACCATCTTTCTCATTTCATTATGCTGTCCCAACATGTCATTCAACATATGTCGCCAACAACACCTGAACAGACACACCATCTTTCTCATTTCATTATGCTGTCCCAACATGTCATTCAACAATCATCTCCCACAACACCTGAAACAGACACACCATCATTCTCATTTCATTATGCTGTCCCAACATGTCATTCAACAATCATCTCCCACAACACCTGAAACAGACACACCATCATTCTCATTTCATTATGCTGTCCCAACATGTCATTCAACAATCATCTCCAACAACATCTGAATAGACACACCATCATTCTCATTTCATTATGATGTCCCAACATGTCATTTAACAATCATCTCCCACAACACCTGAAACAGACACACCATCTTTCTCATTTCATTATGCTGTCCCAACATGTCATTCAACATATGTCGCCCACAACACCTGAAACAGACACACCATCATTCTCATGTCATTATGCTGTCCCAACATGTCATTCAACATATGTCGCCCACAACACCTGAAACAGACACACCATCATTCTTATATCATTATGATGTCCCAACATGTCATTTAACAATCATCTCCCACAACACCTGAAACAGTCACACCATCATTCTCATTTCATTATGCTGTCCCAACATGTCATTTAACAATCATCTCCCACAACACCTGAAACAGACACACCATCTTTCTCATTTCATTATGCTGTCCCAACATGTCATTCAACATATGTCGCCCACAACACCTGAACAGACACACCATCTTTCTCATTTCATTATGCTGTCCCAACATGTCATTCAACAATCATCTCCCACAACACCTGAAACAGTCACACCATCTTTCTCATTTCATTATGCTGTCCCAACATGTCATTCAACATATGTCGCCCACAACACCTGAAACAGACACACCATCATTCTTATATCATTATGATGTCCCAACATGTCATTTAACAATCATCTCCCACAACACCTGAAACAGACACACCATCTTTCTCATTTCATTATGCTGTCCCAACATGTCATTCAACATATGTCGCCAACAACACCTGAACAGACACACCATCTTTCTCATTTCATTATGCTGTCCCAACATGTCATTCAACAATCATCTCCCACAACACCTAAAACAGACACACCATCATTCTCATTTCATTATGCTGTCCCAACATGTCATTCAACAATCATCTCCCACAACACCTGAACAGACACACCATCATTCTCATGTCATTATGCTGTCCCAACATGTCATTCAACATATGTCGCCCACAACACCTGAAACAGACACACCATCATTCTTATGTCATTATGCTGTCCCAAAATGTCATTTAACAATCATCTCCCACAACATCTGAACAGACACACCATCATTCTCATGTCATTATGCTGTCCCAACATGTCATTCAACAATCATCTCCCACAACACCTGAAACAGACACACCATCATTCTTATGTCATTATGATGTCCCAACATGTCATTCAACATATTTCGCCCACAACACCTGAAACAGACACACCATCATTCTCATGTCATTATGCTGTCCCAACATGTCATTCAACATATGTCGCCCACAACACCTGAAACAGACACACCATCATTCTTATGTCATTATGATGTCCCAACATGTCATTCAACATATTTCACCCTCAACACCTGAAACAGACACACCATCATTCTCATGTCATTATGCTGTCCAAACATGTCATTCAACATATGTCGCCCACAACACCTGAAACAGACACACCATCATTCTTATGTCATTATGCTGTCCCAACATGTCATTTAACAATCATCTCCCACAACACCTGAAACAGTCACACCATCATTCTCATGTCATTATGCTGTCCCAACATGTCATTTAACAATCATCTCCCACAACACCTGAAACAGACACACCATCTTTCTCATTTCATTATGCTGTCCCAACATGTCATTCAACATATGTCGCCCACAACACCTGAACAGACACACCATCTTTCTCATTTCATTCTGCTGTCCCAACATGTCATTCAACATATGTTGCCCACAACACCTGAAAGAGACACACCATCATTCTTATGTCATTATGCTGTCCCAACTTGTTATTCAACATATGTCGCCCACAACACCTGAAACAGACACACCATCTTTCTCATTTCATTATGCTGTCCCAACATGTCATTTAACAATCATCTCCCACAACACCTGAAACAGACACACCATCATTCTCATTTCATTATGCTGTCCCAACATGTCATTTAACAATCATCTCCCACAACACCTGAAACAGACACACCATCATTCTCATGTCATTATGCTGTCCCAACATGTCATTCAACAATCATCTCCCACAACACCTGAACAGACACACCATCATTCTCATTTTTATTATGCTGTCCCAACATGTCATTCAACAATCATCTCCCACAACACCTGAACAGACACACCATCATTCTCATGTCATTATGATGTCCCAACATGTCATTCAACAATCATCTCCCACAACACCTGAAACAGACACACCATCATTCTCATGTCATTATGCTGTCCCAACATGTCATTCAACATATGTGTTCAACCATGAAATAAGGTACCTTATAGGTGAAAAATTACATTTTGACTTTTTATCATATTTTAAAACTAAAGCATCCTAAAAACAAAAAAATACATTTCACGAGCTTCAATTCATATTCATTACAGAGATACATGACAATACACATATCGATCTTCAATGAAGTAAGCTGACATCAAAAGTCTTTATGACATCATCGCACAATTCTATCCTGGCACCAATAAGGTCCCTTTTCTCCTGGTAGGTCACATATATCTCCCACAACACCTGAAAATGTTCAGGAAGTTACAAAATGTTACTTTATCAATATCAAATGTTGCATGACAATTGTGTTGAAACACTCCCATTGATGCAAGGGGTGGTTGGGTAGGCTTGTGGTTAAAGTGTTTGCTTGTCACAACGAAGACCTGTGTTTGATTCCTGACATGGGTACAACATCAGGTGTCCTCTGCCATGATATTGCTGGTATATTGCTAAAAGTGGCGCAAAACAAAACTCACTCACCCCATTGATGGATAGACACTAACCTCTGTTACACTGCCCTGTACCGCTACAATTGCTGCTGCATGACAGGTTGAGTATTCTTCCCGGTGGCTGGTACAGCCCCTCCTGTAGCACCCAGTGACTTGTCTCCCTCCTCACCACTGCCAAGCACTGTTGGAGAAACCTGGTGAGGACTGACGATACCCACTCCAGACTGTCATGGATCTGAAAGAACATCTCCCATTTGTCATAGCAGGTTGGCATTCATTTTGAGGGTTCATCATGGATGCTTTTTATTATATGAATATCAAACAAGTCTTAGATCCTTAAAGTATGTCAAAATGTTCAGCCATACACTTTAGTAAGTATCTTTTATCAAGTGATGACCTCCTCCATTGTCTAGTGGTAGAGCGTCTTCCCGGAGAGCGGAAGGTCCGGGGTTCGATCCACAGCCGCATCATACCAAAAGACGTTAAAAGATGGTACTTGTTACTCTGTCTGTCACTCTGCATTAAGGGGCTAAAAAAAGGACTGGTCGGCTTGGAGTCAGTATGCTGTGTCTGAGAGGGGTATTCATGTTTAACTGTGGCATGGTATCTCAGTGTGCTAGCACTATAAATTGGCATCACTCCGGAATAGTACAAGCAGCCACACACACACGTTCATGCACATGCTATATAAGTGCAATAATCTTGGAGGCCGCATTAAGCCCCATTTCAACTCACCTCATCAAGTGACCTTCCTCATGAAATAAACTACACACTGTCCTTATAATTCACCAACAGTTTGACATGGGCCAGGAAGCCATGAAAGAAGATCACTTTATCGTCAGTACTAGTTTGTTAGTCATATATTCTATCCCTTTTGTATAAATCTTTTTGTTGACCAGGAATACACTGGAAATTTTAGTAACATTAAATACATTGATAATGTTTTCATTCAGATGACACCATATATATTTTCTTCAAAAAGTCTCAGAGGAACTTTGTAAGTACATGTTCTTGTTAAAAAATAGACACATGCATGATTTGTTCCATTTATACATGACTTAAACCAAAACAGTTCATCCATTAGCATTTACTGAAGTAGCATAGATACCGTATTCAACGTAATAAGGGCCCCGCTCTAATAAGCGCTCTCAGCGATATTTGCTAATATATTGGCTAGTGAACAATCCCAATTAGCACCCCTTCCGATTGATTAATGCAGACAAGACTTATTTTTTCGTGTATAATACGCACTCCTGTTTTATATATATGCACCCTTAATTATGGGCAATTAAATTCTGGAAAATATATCTGTCGAGTATGATACACACATACGTTTCTTTTGTATCATTTCAGGCTGTCAGCATAAACCACGAAATTTACGATCTTTCAACTATGTTTTCTTTCTCACCAAAATTATATTCTAATAAGAGCCCCCTATTTCTAAATATGAGAGCGCCCCGGGCGCTTATTACGTCGAATACGGTACATCATATGTATTTGACATACAGTGGATTGCATCTGAAACTGTTAACATACATGCAGAGCATGGTTTACACTGAACCGCAATGGTTGATCGTCTCAGATGTTTCAGTGTGCAGACATTGGGCTATTCCACATCAAAGACAGTTTACTGCTGAACCCAGTCGTAAATCTATTCCACAATGATGCATGTGGATTATGGATGCGCATGCATGAAGGTGAGAAGTCGCAGGTTTCAGCTGTCCTACAAAATTGTGAATATTGTCGAAAAGATGGCTCACTAATACAACTCTGCATCCAAATCTGCATCTAGATTACTATGGGTATAACGCTCGATGTTTGGCGAGCAAGGATCGGGTGTTTCATCCCTCCCCGTGGACATAGAAACGTCGACAAGTTTGAACGCTACACAGGTGAGACAAGATGGACACCAGGTATGAGCTTCGCATATCCACTTCTGAGTGTGGCTATTGTCTGCAGTCTAACCATGGGTTTGGGAACGTTATGTGTTAAATATCACAGGATATTTGCAAGCTACTTGGTTGACTTAACATATGATCATCATAATATTATTGGTGATTTGAACAAGGCATCACCCAACACCTTTGGTGACGTCACGTCAAACACATACTGCATGATGTTGACCCATACACGAAATGTATGCGATCCAGGTGAGATGCACGAGCTACCCAAGCGTGTTATGACTCTTATACTATTGTCTACAAATCAGGTTGAGACAAACCCCGAGCACATGCTACCCAAGCGTGTCATAGCGCTTATGCTACTGTGTGCAAATGACGTGGAGACAAACCCCGGGCCTGTTACCCTACAAGATCTTAACAACATAAAAGAAGCAATCCTTACCGAACTGAGAAACGTCAAATCCGACCTAGGTAACGACATTTCTTATCTAAGAACAGAAGTCAAAAGTATCGGAACTAAGTGTGACAATCTAGAAAAATCAGTTTCGGAACTGAAATCAGACATGAAGAAAATTGAAGCTGAGAACCACGTAATGCAATCTGACGTCGATGCGGTTGCTGAGACAGTGGATATCATAAATGACAAACTTTCGCAAATTGATGTTGAACTTGATAAACTCGAGTCGTTTAGCCGAAGAGATAATATCATTATCTATGGTGTTGATGAAGATGAAGGCGAAAAATCTATAGCCTGTAAAGAAAAAGCGATCGCCGTACTTAATGAAAACGCAACATTCAAAACCTGGCAACCGACTGACGTTGCACGCGCCCATCGCCTCGGTGAGAAGAAGCCTGGTAGTGAAAGACCACGACCAATAATTGCAAAACTGGTACTCTCAGACGACAAGGTACGAACATTGAAAGCCAGAGCGACATTTAAATCGAATGGACTTGGAATTGGAAGTGATTTAACCACGCGTCAACGCGAACAATTGCAAGCCCTAAAAGGAACGGGAAATTTCGGGCTTCTTCAAGAATGGCAAGCTTGTTACGATGCCTCGTACGTCGGCTGACCAACGTGGATCTACAAATCAAGACTCAGAAAACCGAATGTCGGACAGACTTCGACCAAACAGAAGTAAGTCGCGCCCTGGGAAATAGCACAATGGCCATGGCCCGGATCATCTCCCACAAGGAACCTCTGATGTGCACACCGGTGATACTCGCGCTCACAGTGTTACTGATGTCAACAGAGACGCGTTCTCCTTTGTATGTTGGAATATTGGTGGTCTTCTCAGCAAAATAAATGATGTTGACTTTTTAACTTACATCAGTAAATTTGATATTGTGTGCCTTGTTGAGACATTTGTTGTAAATATTCCAGGAAAACATTGGCTACATGGATATGATACTTTTTACTGTCCTGCAGTTAAGTTATCCAACTATGGACGTTTATCAGGTGGTATTTGTCTGTGTGTACGTCAATCACTGAGTAGTTTCTGTAATGTTATACAAGCAGATAGAGACAACATAATTGGTCTCTCGTTATCTAAAGATTTATTTAGAATTGACAAAAATGTGAATTTGTTATGTACCTATATCCCTCCAATGGGGTCTCCTTATTATAATCATGTAAACACCAATAGTAACATTGTAAAAGTAGAAGAATTCTTAATAGATAATGATGAAATGTTTTCAAATTCATACAATTTAATCTGTGGAGATATGAACGCGAGAACAGGTGAGAGAAATAACCCTGATATTAGCAATAATGATGATAGCTTCAATCATACCTCCCCTTTCCCTGAGGAGGAGGATGACCCTGTTGAGGATCGTACTTCACAGGATACAGTTGTAAATAGATTTGGTCAAATGTTGTTGGATTTATGCTATGTTTTTAAACTTTACATCGTAAATGGACATGTATATGGTGATACTAATGGGGAATTTACTTATTGTAGCCAACATGGATCTAGTGTGAACGATTATTTTATAAGTTCACCAGATTTTTTTCAGTTTATCAATATGTTCACTGTCGGTGATCGATCTGATTCTGATCACTTTCCATTAGAATTGATGTGTAGATTTCCAAATATGGGTAAGAGGTGCAACAATGATTCATGTATGGATCCACAAGCATCAGAGAAAATTGTATGGAATGATCATTACTCCAGTTTGTTTCTTGATAACCTGAGATATAATTTTACTGAAAACAAAGAAATGGTCCTTAAAGAAATTGATAATGCTATTGAAAACGCAATTAGCCACTTTGTCGACATTGTATTAGACTCTGCTAGCTGCATGAAAAAGACAATACGACATAATCCACAATTTGCCAATCACAAACCACTAAGTCTAGAATGTAGACAAGCGAAACGAGAAACACGTAGGGCACTTAGGAGATTTAGAACACAAAGAACAGTCGCTAACAGAATTGTGTACTGTAGACAAAGAAATCATTATAAATTTTGTTGCAGAAAATTTAAATCCATTTCACGTAAGAAATCAGTTGAAAGATTGCATAGAAGCATAAATAGTCAATCTAGCTTTTGGAAACAGATAAGATCATTACAAAACAAACCCAGACAGAAGAATCATATAACGAAAGCAGAATGGCTGTGCCATTTTAGAGAGGTTTTTGCAAATGACAATGTTTTTTCTCCTCACTTAGATGATGAAAATGAACTCAGTTCTAATCAGTTTACAGATATTGATGCATTCATACTAAATTCTACGATAACTGAACATGAAATTACATCATCAATAAATAAGTTAAAAAAAGGAAAATCCGCCGGGCCCGATCAAGTGCTGATAGAAATGCTTAAATGTTCCCAATTAGATATTATGCCATTTCTTCATAAATGTTTCAACAAACTCTTTGATAATCAAATATTTCCAAACAGTTGGTCTTGTTCAGAAATAGTCCCTCTACATAAAAAAGGCGATCCGAGAAACCCTGACAACTACAGGGGGATCTCATTAATGAGTGTTCTGGGGAAAATTTTTACCTCTGTTTTGAATAACAGGCTTACTAACTGGGCAAATATGAGAGATAAGATACCGGAAGTTCAAGCTGGTTTTAGAAAAAATTATTCAACCATAGATCATATTTTTACATTATATGCTGCATTTCAAAAATGTCTAACACGTCGTAAACACAAGGTTTACGTTGCTTTTATTGATTTTAAAAAGGCATTTGATACAGTTGATCGTTATAAATTATGGTGTTGTTTAAGAAAAGCTGGACTACAAGGGAAGATGTTTAATATACTACAATCAATGTATTCAAATATCAAGTCACGTGTACGTAGTGATTATGGTGTTACTGATTTTATCGATTGCCCATCTGGTTTACGTCAGGGAAGTATACTGAGTCCTCTGTTATTTTCGTTTTTCATAAGCGAATTATATTATGAAATCTCAAGTAACGGCAAGCATGGTATACAGATGTATCCTGACATCCTTGAACTTCTTATGCTCCTTTTTGCCGATGATGTTATTTTACTATCTGACACTGTTATTGGTCTACAGAATCAGTTGAATGTATTAGATAAATATACTAAGGAATGGAATTTATCTGTAAATTTAGATAAGACAGAAATTATAGTATTCAGAAAAGGGGGTCCTTTAAATTTTAGGGAAAGATGGTACTTAAATGGACAACAAATTAATGTAGTTAATGGTTATAAGTATCTCGGCATAATGTTTAATTCAACACTAAATATGACCAAATGTGTATCTGACTTATCACTGCGAGGGAAACGAGCTTTACTTAATATAATGTCTGTTTCACATAAACTTGGAGTTATTACTCCAAAAGTATTTTTCAAATTATTATTCAAATACAGCCAATTTTATTGTATGGATCTGAAGTGTGGGGTTACCGAAGATATGAATGTTTAGAAAGAATTCACCAACTGGCATGTAAAAAGTTTCTTCGCGTTGGAATAGCAACACCAAACAATATGATATATGGAGAATGTGGAAGATACCCACTTTACATTAATTCACAAATAAAGTGTTTAAAATATTGGTTTAATATCATCCGTATGCCAGAACATCGGCTTCCGAAAAAAGCCTATAACATGCTCTTTCATTTAGATAGTATCGGTAAGGTTACATGGGTATCGCATATTAGGACACTATTATTCTCACATGGATATGGGTATATATGGTTTAACCAATCTGTTGGTGATCAACATTTATTTCTAAATGATTTTCGTAAAATAGCAATAAATATGTTCTATCAAGGGTGGCAATGCAACTTGGAAAATAGTTCACGTTATGATTTGTACAGAACATTTAAGACTCTATTAGAGCCAGAAAAATATCTATCAGTTTTAACAAATAGTCACCTAAGAAATGGATATATTAAATACAGACTTGGCTTGTCAAAACTTATGATTAACTATGGACGGAATATATCACTTGAAAGAATACAAAGAATTTGTCCATTCTGTAACTCTGCTATAGAAGACGAAATACATTTTACCTTTGAATGTCCTTATTATGCAGAATTACGTACTAAATATATACCAGAATGTTTCTTATCTAAGACGAGTAGAATAGCTTTTGTTTCTATTTTGTCATCGAATGATGCCGATGTAATGTTTAAACTGTCTTTATTTGTAAAACATGGGATGGAACTACGAAATAACATGTTGAGTGGAAATTCATAATTTTAATTACCTCACCCTAGAAAGTCCTCATGATTATCACCGATTGTTAAATGAATGTTATATTTATATAATTTTTGTTGTATCTCCCAATCTGTAAATTCTCACCCACTGTATTTATGTGAACTTGTATAGGGCCGATGGCCTTTGATACAATAAACATCTTTGACTTTGACTTGAACATGTGTATATGTCTTATTCACTTTTCATTCAAAACCTACCTGTATGCCTGTGACACATGATGCTAGGACTGATTTCTGTAGGTCAAGTGAGATGAGCCCCTGACACTGCACACCAATTTGTGTAGTCAGGATGAAATCTTCACAGTACTCCTTCGCCTGGACTTGGCTGTAACGAAGACTGGGCCATGGCTGGAGCTGCAAGGAAGATGTGTCTACCCTCAGATTCCACAAGGACAAGTAATGAAGGCACATGGATCAGACTTTATTTCTGTACTTTAGCAAAAAAATAATGAAATGTTTTACAGAAACAGGGAAGGCAGACAATATCAAAAGAACCATAAACCTATACTGCTTAGAAAGTTGCACAATGTGTGATGATGTGCCCAATGTTATGCATGTACAAAACTAGGCGTATTAGGAGAAAGAATTACTGGTACTTGTCCAAGGGAAAAGATGGTTCCAGTCAAATCTCTTCATGTTCTTTTGGACTCACCCTACAACTATAAACTTTGAACTTTTGTCAGTGGCATACCAGCTTGTCACATTAACAATATCATTAATATTCCTATAAATGCCAGTATCAACATACAAACAAAAAATGAGTGAGAGTAATTGTTGTTTTATGCCAGAGTCAGCAACATACTTATTTATTAAGTGACAAAACAATCTCCATAATCATAACAAATCTCATTTGCATGACTCTGACTTCATCATAGGCATGTGTGTTTGTTAATCACTGTCTGCTTCAAAAAAGGTGAGTGTACACTGTCCCACTCGTGACACCCATCACAAACACATGCAAATGTGAGACAGTTGTTCACTTAAAAAAACATGGAACATATGTAACAAGGAATTGCATCAGACATTATCTTGACTACCATGAAACATTTTGAAAGCTTAACTAAGATCTTGAAAGTTGTAACCTTGATCAACCAAATCTTCAGCAAGAGTCATATGACACTCTTTGAAAAGCTCAATTGTACCTTAAAAAGTGTGCAATGTTGACACTAAAAGTTAGAGCTGCTGGAATTATTGCTTGACATAAAGTGTAAGTTGACTATTGGAAAGTTGAAGTTATCCCTCTTGTCTCTTGTGGAGAGTGTTTGGCTATTTAGAATTTTTTATTTTTATGCAATGATCCAAATGGAAACAGACTGTTTCACTGGTGTCTTATATCCCTAGGTGGGTAAATCAGAGGAAGGAAATTAGCTATTTGACCATATTGAACGGTATAACTGAAGCTGAACTAAAACTTCTTGGCCAAATTCCCTTGTTTTGATTTAGCCAATCCAAGCAGAAATTATGAATCATAATCCATAAAGAAACAAGCATGAAATACTCATATCCCTTGCCAATATGACATGTCCGATTGTGTGCAATGCATTAGCTCCTGTGAACTATGTTGACTGGGCCTTTTTGTAAATTGCCTGAATGCAGCACTAAAAACGTTATTACCAGTGTTGTTTTGCCTTCTGCAGTTTATGATTCAATATGTATCTGTATTTGTAACGAGTTGTGTTATTACTTAAATAATTTTCTAAAATTCATAAATAGCAAAAGGCAACAATTCAGCATATGTCTGATAGATGTGGAAAATTTTCACCTGGAATCGAACCCTACCCTTATTGTTTTAGTCCAACTTGTTGCCATGGAAACATAAAAAATAAAAATTTATAAAATTCCTATATAGCAAAAGGCATCAGTTCAGCATGAGTCTGATAGACATGCATAGTTTTGAAGAGAAATATTTAACGGTTTCTGAGTTATGCTCCGGAAACGATTTCGGGATGCACACACACGCCCACACACGGACGCACGGAACCCATTTCAATATCCCCCTCCAACTTCGTTGGGGCGGGGGATAACAAATCAGTAAGCACAAATGGTGCCCATGTATTGGGATGCTCACTTCTTGCCTAAATGTCTTATCCCCAAAGTTAATATCGATGTTATCAATGAAAAGTACAAATTGTCCTGTACCTGTGATTGAAGGAATGAAGTTTATCATGTCGGTAAAAAAATCAAATGAGTTTTTGAGAATCAACATGTCATTAATTGCATTCGACTCAAATACACTCTGTCCTAAAAGTCCTCCCTTTATTATCCCTCGCCCAACAAAGTTGGTGGGGGTTATAGAAACGGACTCCGTCCGTCCATCCGTCCGTCAAGTATCGTTTCCAGAGCATAAACCGTTCAATATTTTTTCCTGAAACTTTGCAGGTCTGTCAAGTACATGCTGAACTGGTGCCTTTACCTATTTCAAAATTTTAGAAATTTTAATTTTTTACGTTTCCATGGCAACCAGATGGACTTAGGTTCTGTGAGGGTAGGGTTTGTTTCCGGAGCATAACTCATAAACCGTTCAATATTTTTTCATCAAACTTTGAAAGTCTGTCAGGTACATGCTGAACTGGTGCCTTTTGCTATTTCGAAATTTTAGAAATATTTATTTTTTACGTTTCCATGGCAACAAGATGGACTTAGGTTCTAAACTCTTCTTTTTTTGACAATTTCCATGACAAGTTCCACCTCGGTTAAAGGTTAGGGTTTGTTTAGATTTAATTTTGTCATAAATTCTGCAACAGGGGTTATGGATATAGCCACGTTAGTGGCAAACTCGTGTTGTATCATGGATAGGTCATATATTAGTGGGTGGGTGGGATTGGTCTAAGGATTGCATCATATTTTGTTGTCTGCCCCCTCCTCCCCCCCCCCCCCCCTTACGTAACATTAATTCATCCCACCCACCACACTCCACCTATGATAATTTACCAATAACTAAATAATGTTCAAGTGAATAAACAATTTGATATAAAAAATTGAACTGGGCCATTTTCTCATGCAAACACCACACAATCACACCCCTACACCCCAATTTTCAAAAATAGAAAAGTCACCTGTGATTATATGACCAAAGGGTTGGAAGTAGCTTCATGAGTCTAAACCAGTCTAAACCAGTAAGTTTAGTGCTGCTTTGAACAGTATTTCAGCTAAAGCATGTCAGCTTAATGTTGAAGAAAATTCCAAAGTGATTTAGGGTCTTAGAAAAATTCAAATCTATCACATGTTATCATTTCTTAAATCACAAAAGAAATGTCACAAACCTCAAATTTGAACTCTTCTTCGTATACATAAACAAATTTCTGTGAGAGTTGTCCTGGGCAACCAAGAGGACGTGATGACATCTTGATGAAAAAATCTGTCTTATCCACACCTGAAATTGATGGAAGTACATGTACATGTACATTGTAAACAAGACTTAGGCAATTACTAGCAACATATCTCCTCAACCAGATATAGTAGTCTCCCCTTCACCAGGCAGAAGCCTCACCTTCACCAGGCAGACAGCCTCACCTTCCCCTGGCAGAAGCCTCACAGCCAATTACCTTCACCAGGCAGACAGCCTCACCTTCACCAGGCAGACAGTCTCACCTTCACCAGGCAGACAGCCTCACAGCCTTTCCTTCACCAGGTCGACAGTCTCACCTTCACCAGGCAGACAGCCTCACCTTCACCAGGCAGACAGCCTCACAGCCTTACCTTCACAATGCAGACAGCCTCACCTTCACCAGGCAGAAGCCTCACAGCTTAACCTTCACCAGGCAGACAGTCTCACCTTCACCAGGCAGACAGCCTCACCTTCACCAGGCAGACAGCCTCACAGCCTTACCTTCACCAGGCAGACAGCCTCACCTTCACCAGGCAGACAGCCTCACAGCCTCACCTTCACCAGGCAGACAGCCCCACCTTCACCAGGCAGAAGGCTCACAGCCTTACCTTCACCAGGCAGACAGCCTCACCTTAACCAGGCAGACAGCCTCACCTTCACCAGGCAGAAGCCTCATAGCCTCACCTTCACCAGGCAGACAGCCTCACCTTCGCCAGGCAGACAGCCTCACAGCCTTACCTTCACCAGGCAGACAGCCTCACAGCCTTACCTTCACCAGGCAGAAGCCTCACAGCCTTACCTTCACCAGGCAGACAGCCTCACAGCCTCACCTTCACCAGGCAGACGGCCTCACAGCCAATTACCTTCACCAGGCAGACAGCCTCACCTTCATCAGGCAGACAGCCTCACCTTCACCAGGCAGACAGCCTCACAGCCTTACCTTCACCAGGCAGACAGCCTCACCTTCACCAGGCAGACAGCCTCACAGCCTTACCTTCACCAGGCAGACAGCCTCACCTTCACCAGGCAGACAGCCTCACAGCCTCACCTTCACCAGGCAGACAGCCCCACCTTCACCAGGCAGAAGCCTCACAGCTTAACCTTCACCAGGCAGACAGCCTCACCTTAACCAGGCAGACAGCCTCATCTTCACCAGGCAGAAGCCTCATAGCCTCACCTTCACCAGGCAGACAGCCTCACCTTCACCAGACAGACAGCCTCACAGCCTTACCTTCACCAGGCAGACAGCCTCACAGCCTTACCTTCACCAGGCAGAAGCCTCACCTTCACCAGGCAGACGGCCTCACAGCCAATTACCTTCACCAGGCAGACAGCCTCACCTTCATCAGGCAGACAGCCTCACCTTCACCAGGCAGACAGCCTCACCACCAGGGAGACAGCCTCACCTTTGCCAGGCACACAGTCTCACCTTTGCCAGGCAGACAGCCTCACAGCCTTACCTTCACCAGGCAGACAGTCTCACCTTCACCAGGCAGACAGTCTCACCCTTGCCAGGCAGACAGCCTCACCTTCACTAGGCAGACAGTCTCACCTTTGCCAGGCAGACAGCCTTACCCTCACCAGGCAGACAGTCTCACAGCCTTACCTTCACCAGGCAGACAGCCTCACCTTTGCCAGGCAGACAGCCTCACAGCCTTAACTTCACCAGGCAGACAGTCTCACCTTTGCCAGGCAGACAGCCTTACCTTCACCAGGCAGACAGTCTCACCTTTGCCAGGCAGACAGCCTCACCTTCACCAGGCAGACAGCCTCACCTTTGCCAGGCAGGCAGCCTTACATTCACCAGGCAGACAGTCTCACCTTTGCCAGGCAGACAGTCTCACCTTCAGGGAGACAGCCTCACCTTTGCCAGGCAGGCAGCCTTACATTCACCAGGCAGACAGTCTCACCTTTGCCAGGCAGACAGCCTCACCTTTGCCAGGCAGGCAGCCTCACCTTTGCCAGGCAGACAGTCTCACCTTTGCAAGGCACACAGTCTCACCTTTGCCAGGCAGACAGCCTCACAGCCTTACCTTCACCAGGCAGACAGCCTCACCTTCACCAGGCAGACATTCTCACCTTTGCCAGGCAGACAGCCTCACCTTCAGGGAGACAGCCTCACCTTTGCCAGGCAGGCAGCCTTACATTCACCAGGCAGACAGTCTCACCTTTGCCAGGCAGACAGCCTCACCTTTGCCAGGCAGACAGCCTCACCTTTGCCAGGCAGACAGTCTCACCTTTGCCAGGCAGACAGCCTCACCTTCACCAGGCAGACAGCCTCACCTTCACCAGGCAGACAGCCTCACCTTCACCAGGGAGACAGCTTAACCTTCACCAGGGAGACAGCCTCACCTTCACCAGGCAGACAGCCTCACCTTCACCAGGCAGACAGACACTTTCACCAGGCAGATAGCCTCACCTTCACTAGGCAGACAGCCTCACCTTCAACAGGCAGACAGCTTCACCTTCACCAGGGAGACAACCTCACCTTCACCAAGCAGACAGCCTCACCTTCACCAGGCAGACAGCCTCACCTTCACCAGGGAGACAGCCTCACTTTCACAAGGCAAGATAGCCTCACCTTCACCAGGCCTCAGATCTTCACGGGTCAGATATGTGAGTAGCCTAGGCCTCACCTTCAACAGGATGACATGTGAAGATGCTGATGTCTGCACCACAGCCTACAGTAGAGCCTACATCACCACATTTGCATAAAACAGGGGCTGACATGGTCTCAGCAGGGTCTTCAGAACAAACACCAGACAAGAAGTCTTCATTCTTCTTCACTCTGAGAATGAAAAAAAGTTAGATTAGTTTAAACCTTTGACAAATATTAGTCATCCTCTGTATCTCCATAACTCACATTTCGATAAACGTACACTAAACCTTGGATCCATTCCCGTGGTTCCTGCAATCTTAATATACTAGCCATAAATTTTCATTTGCCAATTTGATTTGCTTTGCTACTCGATCTAAAGGACCAATCACAATGCAAGTTACAAACCAGTTTCATTATTGGGTTGACCATATCAACAACATGGCAGCCAGTCCCATTCATTACGACAGAGTTTGAGAGAAATTCAACACTGAAAATTTAACTGTCACAGAAAACAAATCCCTCAAAAATCTTTTTAATGGAAAGGATGTCTTGATGTCAATCTCCCTTACACATTTTCTTTTTCCTTATCTCAAAGTTTAACTGGTCTGTAAAATGTGAATGGAAATCAAGGTGGGTGATATAACATTGTGAGAACCACGGGGATGGGTCCAGGGGTTAGTGTAGGTTTACCGAAATGCTAGCCCTGGAGATACAGAGGATGAATATTAGCATATTAACAAGTGTTAAGCAATCTGCATAGTTAACATGTCTTCGTCTGCTGTCCTTCCTACCATGTGTCCATACCAAAGAGGTTTCCCAAACGCACAATAATAGCTATGTCTTTATATTTGCTCATGTTTGGGGATGGCCTTGGGCAATTGATTCAAGACAACTTTAAGGACAACTTCGAGACAGGTTAACTCACTATTGCTAAAGTCATCAACTCATCAAGGTTGCTTTCAGATATATGTGGGGGCACGGGAGGCCCAGTTGTCTAAGGCACTGCGATTCGCTATGCAGAGTTGCGTCCCTTGGGCATGCCAAGAATTAAATGATTGTGGGTTCGAATCCCAGTTCGCCCCAATTATGTTTCTAGGTTTGTCAGCACCATACCCAAGCTTGTGAGTTTCACTGCAGTGGTAAACGTCTAAGACCTGCATCACTTTAAGCTGACATGCCCTGATATAACTAGAATACTTTAAAAAGCGGCATTAAACCCAACTCACTCACTTCAGATATATGTAGCTATACACTAATTTGTCATACTAGTTTTTTTATCATGTTGTCAATTGTCACAGTTATACTTGTCATACTGTCATGTTTTATACTGTAATGTAGTATATGATTGTGCTTTTGTCATACTGTCATACTGTCATGTTTTATACTGTAATGTAGTATATGATTGTGCTTTTGTCATACTGCCCTACTGTCATACTGTCATGTTTTATACTGTAATGTAGTATATGATTGTGCTTCTGTCATACTGCCATACTGTCATGTTTTATACTGTAATGTAGTATATGATTGTGCTTTTGTCATACTGCCATACTGCCATACTGTCATGTATCATGTTGCAGTTGTCATATGCCACAGGTATTTATCAAAAGCTCACGTCTGAAAGCTAAATATTCTCAGGATCTCAGATCTAAGATCTCGATATCAATCTTTGTAATCAATAAGGGAATTCATTTTCAGAAAATAAACACTTGTGTGTAGTATCACTGATAATATTATTGATAGATGTGCAATCACTACTCAAAAACTGTTGAATGAGGATGACCCCTAACCTCCAACTAATGGAGAACTCCTCCCCTGCTTCCCGGTCATTGGTTGAGTTGCCGTCATAGGAGCCACAGAGTCCCTCTGTCAACTTGTAGTCCATAGCAGAAGGCTGCACCCACACATCCAGGCATTCAGAGCTTCCAACATCAGTAGCAATCACGTATGTCCCACTTGGGAAGTGAACCTAAAAGCAGGGAGGTTAAAACAGGATAATTTCTCACAATGGAGTACTTGTGACAAAAATGCATTTACGCTAATTATCCATCTGTCCAGCTGTCTTAAAGCTTACACACCCAAGTTGGCATGTTGTATGCTTGAAATTTTAAACTTTCAAAACATGTAGATACACCCTTTATGAATAAATCCACACTCATCTTGTGTATTATGTTTAGTCATTGTCATGTAAGACTTACAAAGGAAGCATTTATGCATTCAATTTCAAACTTCAATCTTCAGATGATGAAGTTCAATTGCTTTGGATAATTCTTTTTAATATAGAGCTCCATTGGGGCCAGAAATTAAACCACTGAAATTGGAGGTAAACATATTTCGCTAAATTGAATTCTTATTTACACGAACAGAATGAGGTTTCAAATGTTTAGCAGTTATCATACAGCTCTATATTCAAAAGGCAGTATGTTTATCACCATTCTGCCAAGACAAGACTTTATAGGAATTCTTTGGTCTTAGCAGAAATATTGAGTGAAGCCGCATGTGTTGAGTGCATGAATTAAAGAAACACAATAACAGTCTTTGAAGTCTTTGTATTATATACTCAAATATTGTTTTGGACATCATTGGACTTTACTCACATATATGATGGGCACCAAGTTTTAGGCATAGCTATCTTCTAAGCCAACATGAAGTGGGAACCCTAAAATAATTACCTTTTGCAAAGTTTAGTTCAACACTGCTTATCACCATTGTGTCACACCACACAATGTGATGCAAAAGGTATGATGTAGATATAGCAAGCATCAAAGTGTAAGGTTTTTGTTGACTTCTATAACCTATCTTTCTACTTATGATTATTTCAACATGACTACCAACAATGACTGAGAATGAAATACTTTCTAGGATTATTAGTTTCTGCATTTCTATGGCCATCTAACCAGCTGTTTCCCTCAGAGGTTAGTGAGAAGAATCTGACTTAGCAATAAGAAAACGGGTTTATTCCAAATTTATGGTAAAAGTCATAATTTACCCAATCTAATGATAGCCTGTGTTTCATCAAGAGATTAGATAACAAGTCATGTGTCATATGAAAGTAGCCAGCATTCAAACAAGGGTTTACATTTACTCAGGTGGAGGAAAAAAACAGATCTTACCTAATGGTATAAATGACATGGGCCAAAAAGTGTAACACAAAAAGCAAACAGACTGTAACAGGACTAGGAGAAATCTTCTTGCCAACTACCTGTTGTGTACGTCCCTCATCAAACTGAAACACCCTGGTGTTTGGTGTGAGGTCTCCATTAAGGAACATGGTAGTCACTGTTGTCACTTGTTTGTCATCTCTTGTACATCTATTAATCAATGTCACATCATCTCCCGATTTCACAGCCACTGCACAGGGACATGGTGGTGACTTTGTGGCATTGTCATGTCGCATAAATATCTCCACCTGTACAAGGCAAAAATGTACATGAGATCTACCTGATACATTGTCTGGTATATCTGATTTGACAACTTCCTCCGAAGTTGATGAATTATGCTAATTCTAATTTGCTGGTAGAAAGAGAACAGCTCTTCATGCCAGATGCAGCCAAGATATAAAACACTTATCATACCTTCATGTTAGAATGATGAGGTCTGATTGGTTCACGAGATCTTGATAAAATATCTCCCCCCCCCCAGGAGGAAAATATATTTCTAAGCCGGGAGACTAATCTCTAATACCCTGCCACAAAAAAAACATACTGCACGTGGATTTCTGATATTACGAGAATAAATCCCTTATACCCCACTTTGAAGCAAGAGGACGCACACTCTTTTCCGAATCAATGAAAGTCACAAGACATCACATAAGTGAACCTCAGCTCAATTGAACAGCTGTTTTCTATCAATTTTGCATTTATTTTAATTCTTTTAAAATAGCATATTAAAACATATTGGTAAGAAAGATTCGTTGTCCGGTGAGTGGTACAAAACCTAACAAGGGATGCATAAAGCCACATGTACCCTGAGTAGTACTGCTACAACTTATAATGTATTTTCATGTACCTTCCTGTACATAATCATGTTATATCGAATGTTGAAGCATTTGAATCCAAATCCACAAACTAGCTTACCTCATATGGCTGTGTCCTATGGCGATACATGTTGAACACCCCTTCTGTGTAAATGTCATAGGCTCTGGAATGTAGACAAAAAGCTTTTAAGATGACCACGATGCAGTTTTCTTCTGTAAGATGTACGACATAAAAGGATGATGAAAAGAAGTCGGTGAACTCAACTCAACTGATGGTAACCCCACTAACAATGACTACACTAACACTCCACCCCACAAACAATGACTACACTAACACTCCACCCCACTAACAATGACTACACTAACACTCCACCCCACTAACAATGACTACACTAACACTCCACCCCACAAACAATGACTACACTAACACTCCACCCCACTAACAATGACTACTCTAACACTCCACCCCACAAACAATGACTACACTAACACTCCACTCCACTAACAATGACTACACTAACACTCCACCCCACTAACAATGACTACACTAACACTCCACCCCACTAACAATAACTGCACTTACACTCCACTCCACTAACAATAACTACACTAACACTCCACCCCACTAACAATGACTACATTAACACTCCACCCCACTAACAATGACTACACTAACACTCCACCCCACTAACAATGACTACACTAACACTCCTCCCCACTAACAATGACTACACTAACACTCCACCCCACTAACAAAGACTACACTTACACTCCACCCCACTAACAATGACTACACTAACACTCCACCCCACTAACAATGACTACACTAACGCTCCACCCCACTAACAATGACTACATTAACACTCCACCCCACTAACAATAACTACACTAACACTCCACCCCACTAACAATGACTACACTAACACTCCTCCCCAATAACAATAACTACACTTACACTCCACTCCACTAACAATAACTACACTAACACTCCACCCCACTAACAATGACTACATTAACGCTCCTCCCCACTAACAATAACTACACTTACACTCCATCCCACTAACAATAACTACACTAACACTCCACCCCACTAACAATAACTACACTAACACTCCACCCCACTAACAATAACTACACTTACACTCCACTCCACTAACAATAACTACACTAACACTCCACCCCACTAACAATGACTACACTAACACTCCACCCCACTAACAATAACTACACTAACACTCCACCCCACTAACAATGACTACACTAACACTCCGCCCCACTAACAAAGACTACACTAACACTCCACCCCACTAACAATAACTACACTTACACTCCACCCCACTAACAATAACTACACTTACACTCCACCCCACTAACAATGACTACACTAACACTCCACCCCACTAACAATAACTACACTAACACTCCACCCCACTAACAAAGACTACACTAACCCTCCACCCCACTAACAAAGACTACACTAACACTCCACCCCACTAACAATAACTACACGAACACTCCACCCCACTAACAATGACTACACTAACACTCCACTCCACTAACAATAACTACACTAACACTCCACCCCACTAACAATGACTACACTAACACTCCACCCCACTAACAATAACTACACTAACACTCCACCCCACTAACAATGACTACACTAACACTCCACTCCACTAACAATGACTACACTAACACTCCACTCCACTAACAATAACTACACTAACACTCCACCCCACTAACAATGACTACACTAACACTCCACCCCACTAACAATGACTACACTTACACTCCACCCCACTAACAATAACTACACTTACACTCCGCTCCACTAACAATAACTACACTAACACTCCACCCCACTAACAATGACTACACTAACACTCCACCCCACTAACAATGACTACACTAACACTCCACCCCACTAACAATAACTACACTTACACTCCACCCCACTAACAATAACTACACTTACACTCCGCTCCACTAACAATAACTACACTTACACTCCATCCCACTAACAATAACTACACTAACACTCCACCCCACTAACAATAACTACACTAACACTCCACCCCACTAACAATAACTACACTTACACTCCACTCCACTAACAATAACTACACTAACACTCCACCCCACTAACAATGACTACACTAACACTCCACCCCACTAACAATAACTACACTAACACTCCACCCCACTAACAATGACTACACTAACACTCCGCCCCACTAACAAAGACTACACTAACACTCCACCCCACTAACAATAACTACACTTACACTCCACCCCACTAACAATAACTACACTTACACTCCACCCCACTAACAATGACTACACTAACACTCCACCCCACTAACAATGACTACACTAACACTCCACCCCACTAACAATGACTACACTAACACTTGACTCCACTAACAGTAGCTCCACTGACACTAACTCAACTGAGGGTAGCCCCACTAACAAAGACTACACTAACACTCCACCCCACTAACAAAGACTACACTAACACTCCACCCCACTAACAAAGACTACACTAACCCTCCACCCCACTAACAAAGACTACACTAACACTCCACCCCACTAACAATAACTACACTAACACTCCACCCCACTAACAATGACTACACTAACACTCCACTCCACTAACAATAACTACACTAACACTCCACCCCACTAACAATAACTACACTAACACTCCACCCCACTAACAATGACTACACTAACACTCCACTCCACTAACAATAACTACACTAACACTCCACCCCACTAACAATGACTACACTAACACTCCTCCCCACTAACAATAACTACACTTACCCTCCACTCCACTATTAATAACTACACTAACACTCCACCCCACTAACAATGACTACACTAACACTCCACCCCACTAACAATAACTACACTTACACTCCGCTCCACTAACAATAACTACACTAACACTCCACCCCACTAACAATGACTACACTAACACTCCACCCCACTAACAATGACTACACTAACACTCCACCCCACTAACAATAACTACACTTACACTCCACCCCACTAACAATAACTACACTTACACTCCGCTCCACTAACAATAACTACACTAACACTCCACTCCACTAACAATAACTACACTAACACTCCACTCCACTATTAATAACTACACTAACACTCCACCCCACTAACAATGACTACACTAACACTCCACCCCACTAACAATGACTACACTAACACTCCACCCCACTAACAATAACTACACTTACACTCCACCCCACTAACAATAACTACACTTACACTCCACCCCACTAACAATAACTACACTAACCCTCCACCCCACTAACAAAGACTACACTAACACTCCACCCCACTAACAATAACTACACTAACACTCCACCCCACTAACAATGACTACACTAACACTCCACTCCACTAACAATAACTACACTAACACTCCACCCCACTAACAATAACTACACTAACACTCCACCCCACTAACAATGACTACACTAACACTCCACTCCACTAACAATAACTACACTAACACTCCACCCCACTAACAATGACTACACTAACACTCCTCCCCACTAACAATAACTACACTTACCCTCCACTCCACTATTAATAACTACACTAACACTCCACCCCACTAACAATGACTACACTAACACTCCACCCGTCTAACAATAACTACACTTACACTCCGCTCCACTAACAATAACTACACTAACACTCCACCCCACTAACAATGACTACACTAACACTCCACCCCACTAACAATGACTACACTAACACTCCACCCCACTAACAATAACTACACTTACACTCCACCCCACTAACAATAACTACACTTACACTCCGCTCCACTAACAATAACTACACTAACACTCCACTCCACTAACAATAACTACACTAACACTCCACCCCACTAACAATGACTACACTAACACTCCACCCCACTAACAATGACTACACTAACACTCCACCCCACTAACAATGACTTCACTAACACTCCACTCCACTAACAGTAGCTCCACTGACACTAACTCATCTGAGGGTAGCCCCACTAACACTAAGTACACAAACATTAGCTCAACTAATACTAACTCCACTGACAGTCATGCCACTAACACTAACTCCACTGACACTAACACTACAAACTCTATTGACAGAAGCAATACTGACAGTCACTCCAACGATGGAGGCTTCACTGACATTTGCTTTTGCATGTCCATAACATATTCATGAAGACTAATTATTCCAATACTTACTGTCCATCAAATGTGATGACATGTGGTGCAGCTTGGCACAGTGAAGAGGAATCCAAGTCTTTCACTGTCACCTGAAACATTAATTACACCTCAACAACATCATGTGGACTTCTATTCTGACACACAAGTAATTGTCAATGACTTCTTATAATCTTATTGCATCCATTCAAAAAATAAGTACTTATAAAATGAAAGCTACTCACCTTACCACTTGTGGCATTTCCACTGAACACAAGCTGATCCCCTGACATCACAGTGGCTGATAGCATCACCTCTCTGACCTGGTCACCATCAACTAGCTGGTCACTCACTGCCATCAGTGGAACATGCAGCGTCTCCGGCCATGATGGATACTCCAGTAAACAGTCAGCCTCATCCGGTAACAATGATGTAGATACATACACTGCCTGGTAGTAAGCCTCTGTTGTGGAAGAGCATTTGTATTCTTCATGTCTGGTAAATGAAATACCAACTTTGACTGAGCAAGTCTGGTTGTCCAGTTTACAGAAATATTGTGTTGGAACAGTCGTCTTGACATCCACTGTAACAGCTGCTCCACCCTCATACAGCGTGATGTCTTCTGTAATGATCTGCCATAGGCAAAGCAAAGTGAGCTGATCAGACATTGTAGTCTTGTACTGAGTGGGGAGGGAAGGTAATGGATGGGACACAGTGACAGGATCAGACATTGTAGTCTTGTACTGGGTGGGGAGGGAAGGTAATGGACACAGTGACAGGATCAGACATTGTAGTCTTGTACTTGGCGTGGAGGGAAGGTAATGGATGGGACGCAGTGGCAGGATCAGACATTGTAGTCTTGTACTGGGTGGGGAGGGAAGGTAATGGATGGGACACAGTGACAGGATCAGACATTGTAATCTTGTACTGGATGGGGAGGGAAGGTTATTGACACAGTGACAGGATCAGACATTGTAGTCTTGTACTGGGCAGGGAGGAAAGGTAATGGATGGGACACAGTGACAGGATCAGACATTGTAGTCTTGTATTGGGCGTGGAGGGAAGGTAATGGAAGGGACACAGTGACAGGATCAGACTTTGTAGTCTTGTACTGGGCAGGGAGGAAAGGTAATGGATGGGACACAGTGACAGGATCAGACATTGTAGTCTTGTACTGAGTGGGGAGGGAAGGTAATGGACACAGTGCCAGGATCAGACATTGTAGTCTTGTATTGGGTGGGGAGGGAAGGTAATGGACACAGTGACAGGATCAGACATTGTAGTCTTGTATTGGGCGTGGAGGGAAGGTAATGGAAGGGACACAGTGACAGGATCAGACTTTGTAGTCTTGTACTGGGCAGGGAGGAAAGGTAATGGACACAGTGACAGGATCAGACATTGTAGTCTTGTACTGGGTGTGGAGGGAAGGTAATGGATTGGACACAGTGACAGGAGCAGACATTGTCGTCTTGTACTTGGTTAGGAGGGAAGGTAATGAACACAGTGACAGGATCAGACATTGTAGTCTTGTACTGGGCGTGGAGGGAAGGTAATGGATTGGACACAGTGACAGGAGCAGACATTGTCGTCTTGTACTTGGTGGGGAGGGAAGGTAATGGATGGGACGCAGTGACAGGATCAATCATTGTAGTCTTGTACTGGGTGGGGAGGGAAGGTAATGGATGGGACGCAGTGACAGGATCAGACATTGTAGTCTTGTACTGAGTGGGGAGGGAAGGTAATGGACACAGTGACAGGATCAGGCATTGTAGTCTTGTATTGGGTGGGGAGGGAAGGTAATGGACACAGTGACTGAATCAGACATTGTAGTCTTGTACTGGGTTAGGAAGGAAGGTAATGGACACAGTGACAGGATCAAACAGTGTGTTCTTGTACTGGGCGTGGAGGGAAGGTAATGGATTGGACACAGTGACAGGATCAGACATTGTAGTCTTGTACTGGATGGGGAGGGAAGGTAATGGACAAAGTGCAAGGATCAGACTTTGTAACAGCTGTTCCACCCTCATACAGTGTGATGTCTTCTGTAATGATCTGCCACTGGGCGTGGAGGGAAGGTAATGGACACAGTGACAGGATCAGACATTGTCGTCTTGTACTGGGTGGGGAGGGAAGGTAATGGACAAAGTGACAGGATCAGACTTTGTAACAGCTGCTCCACCCTCATACAGCGTGATGTCTTCTGTAATGATCTGCCACTGGGCGTGGAGGGAAGGTAATGGATACAGTGACAGGATCAGACATTGTCGTCTTGTACTGGGTGGGGAGGGAAGGTAGTGGACACAGTGACAGGATCAGACATTGTAGTCTTGTACTGGGCGTAGAGGGAAGGTAATGGAATGGACACAGTGACAGGAGCAGACATTGTCGTCTTGTACTTGGTGGGGAGGGAAGGTAATGGATGGGACGCAGTGACAGGATCAAACATTGTAGTCTTGTACTGGGTGGGGAGGGAAGGTTATGGATGGGACGCAGTGACAGGATCAGACATTGTAGTCTTGTACTGAGTGGGGAGGGAAGGTAATGGACACAGTGACAGGATCAGGCATTGTAGTCTTGTACTGGGTGGGGAGGGAAGGTAATGGACACAGTGACAGGATCAGACATTGTAGTCTTGTACTTGGCGTGGAGGGAAGGTAATGGATGGGACGCAGAGACAGGATCAGACATTGTAGTCTTGTACTGGGTGGGGAGGGAAGGTAATGGATGGGACACAGTGACAGGATCAGACATTGTAATCTTGTACTGGGTGGGGAGGGAAGGTAATGGATGGGACACAGTGACAGGATCAGACATTGTAATCTTGTACTGGATGGGGAGGGAAGGTTATTGACACAGTGACAGGATCAGACAATGTAGTCTTGTACTGGGCAGGGAGGGAAGGTAATGGACACAATGACAGGATCAGACATTGTAGACTTGTACTTGGCGTGGAGGGAAGGTATAATGGATGGGACACAGTGACAGGATCAGACATTGTAGTCTTGTACTGGGCAGGGAGGAAAGGTAATGGATGGGACACAGTGACAGGATCAGACATTGTAGTCTTGTACTTGGAGTGGAGGGAAGGTAATGGATGGGACACAGTGACAGGATCAGACTTTTTAGTCTTGTACTGGGCAGGGAGGAAAGGTAATGGATGGGACACAGTGACAGGATCAGACATTGTAGTCTTGTATTGGGTGTGGAGGGAAGGTAATGGAAGGGACACAGTGACAGGATCAGACTTTGTAGTCTTGTACTGGGCAGGGAGGAAAGGTAATGGACACAGTGACAGGATCAGACATTGTAGTCTTGTAATGAGTGGGGAGGGAAGGTAATGGATTGGACACAGTGACAGGATCAGACACTGTAGCCTTGTACATGGTGGGGAGGGAAGGTAATGGATGGGACGCAGTGACAGGATCAGACATTGTAGTCTTGTACTGGGTAGGGAGGGAAGGTAATGGATGGGACACAGTGACAGGATCAGACATTGTAGTCTTGTATTGGGTGGGGAGGGAAGGTAATGGACACAGTGACAGAATCAGACATTGTAGTCTTGTACTGGGTTAGGAGGGAAGGTAATGGACACAGTGACAGGATCAGACATTGTAGTCTTGTACTGGGCGTGGAGGGAAGGTAATGGATTGGACACAGTGACAGGAGCAGACATTGTCGTCTTGTACTTGGTGGGGAGGGAAGGTAATGGATGGGACGCAGTGACAGGATCAAACATTGTAGTCTTGTACTGGGTGGGGAGGGAAGGTAATGGATGGGACGCAGTGACAGGATCAGACATTGTAGTCTTGTACTGAGTGGGGAGGGAAGGTAATGGACACAGTGACAGGATCAGGCATTGTAGTCTTGTATTGGGTGGGGAGGGAAGGTAATGGACACAGTGACAGGATCAGACATTGAAGTCTTGTACTGGGTTAGGAAGGAAGGTAATGGACACAGTGACAGGATCAGACAGTGTGTTCTTGTACTTGGTGGGGAGGGAAGGTAATGGAAGGGACGCAGTGACAGGAGCAGACATTGTCGTCTTGTACTTGGTGGGGAGGGAAGGTAATGGATGGGATGCAGTGACAGGATCAAACATTGTAGTCTTGTACTGGGTGGGGAGGGAAGGTAATGGACACAGTGACAGGATCAGACATTGTAGTCTTGTATTGGGTGGGGAGGGAAGATAATGGACACAGTGACAGAATCAGACATTGTAGTCTTGTACTGGGTTAGGAGGGAAGGTAATGGACACAGTGACAGGATCAGACATTGTAGTCTTGTACTGGGCGTGGAGGGAAGGTAATGGATTGGACACAGTGACAGGAGCAGACATTGTCGTCTTGTACTTGGTGGGGAGGGAAGGTAATGGATGGGACGCAGTGACAGGATCAAACATTGTAGTCTTGTACTGGGTGGGGAGGGAAGGTAATGGATGGGACGCAGTGACAGGATCAGACATTGTAGTCTTGTACTGAGTGGGGAGGGAAGGTAATGGACACAGTGACAGGATCAGGCATTGTAGTCTTGTATTGGGTGGGGAGGGAAGGTAATGGACACAGTGACTGAATCAGACATTGTAGTCTTGTACTGGGTTAGGAAGGAAGGTAATGGACACAGTGACAGGATCAGACAGTGTGTTCTTGTACTGGGCGTGGAGGGAAGGTAATGGATTGGACACAGTGACAGGAGCAGACATTGTCGTCTTGTACTTGGTGGGGAGGGAAGGTAATGGAAGGGACGCAGTGACAGGATCAAACATTGTAGTCTTGTACTGGGTGGGGAGGGAAGGTAATGGACACAGTGACAGGATCAGACATTGTAGTCTTGTATTGGGTGGGGAGGGAAGGTAATGGACACAGTGACAGAATCAGACATTGTAGTCTTGTACTGGGTTAGGAGGGAAGGTAATGGACACAGTGACAGGATCAGACATTGTAGTCTTGTACTGGGCGTGGAGGGAAGGTAATGGATTGGACACAGTGAGAGGAGCAGACATTGTCGTCTTGTACTTGGTGGGGAGGGAAGGTAATGGATGGGACGCAGTGACAGGATCAAACATTGTAGTCTTGTACTGGGTGGGGAGGGAAGGTAATGGATGGGACGCAGTGACAGGATCAGACATTGTAGTCTTGTACTGAGTGGGGAGGGAAGGTAATGGACACAGTGACAGGATCAGGCATTGTAGTCTTGTATTGGGTGGGGAGGGAAGGTAATGGACACAGTGACTGAATCAGACATTGTAGTCTTGTACTGGGTTAGGAAGGAAGGTAATGGACACAGTGACAGGATCAGACAGTGTGTTCTTGTACTGGGCGTGGAGGGAAGGTAATGGATTGGACACAGTGACAGGAGCAGACATTGTCGTCTTGTACTTGGTGGGGAGGGAAGGTAATGGATGGGACGCAGTGACAGGATCAAACATTGTAGTCTTGTACTGGGTGGGGAGGGAAGGTAATGGAAGGGACACAGTGACAGGATCAGACATTGTAGTCTTGTACTGGGTTAGGAGGGAAGGTAATGGACACAGTGACAGGATCAGACATTGTAGTCTTGTACTGGGCGTGGAGGGAAGGTAATGGAAGGGACACAGTGACAGGATCAGACTGTTTTTGATGAGGTTTTACCTTTAGTCCAGCAATGAAATCAGGGCTGATCTTTGGTGGGCTAGTGGTGCTGGAGCAGTTGTCAGGAAAGCAGGCACTTACTCCGCAGGTTACCTGAAAGAGTAGATTTCTGTCATTACCCTTGTTACATATTTATTTTGAATATCACCATTGTCAGTATGTCCAGACCTTGAACAGGATATGTACAACCCTGAACAAGTAAAATGGGATTGGTATAACTTTTATACTTTTGTAATATTTTACAAATTGAAATGGCACTACTTATAGAGCAAAGTATGTACATATTACATCATTCATTGTCATTAACATTCACAAATGTATTCCTCCTGTTATCCCAAAGTGTATATTATGTTGAAAAAAAATTGTTTCTCCAATACAAATAAAATGTGTGAGGATACTATCCATAATCTGTATGATTTGTGATATATTTGTGATGATTTAGGATGATATGTATAAGTTATCCAAAGACTTGTCTCCCAATCAGTGGTTTGGAACCACTGGTCAATTTGGATAAGTGTTAAAAAATGCAGAAATGACAACAACGTTTTCGTAAATCTACCAAATGCACAACAATGTTTTTGTAAATCATTCTGTAAACTGTATGTATTGTTCATGCATTTTCGTACATTTTTCATACATGGGTGCATGCACACATACATGCACATATACATGATAACAAAACATAGTATTTAAAAACAAAATGAAGAACAATTAGATATGATTTGGGTTGTCTGAACAATTTCAAGATGACAAATAATCCACATGGTTAAATTGTTTCAATTTAATCAATTGTTTTTGTTAAATAATTTAAAAGAAGTTATGTAAAATATAATCTTACCCTGGTGTCTTTTACCAGAAAACATGTATTCACACTAATGGATAAAAGTTGTAAAAGAGTTTTGCTATTTTAGTACATTCAAGGTAATAAATAGTAAGTTGATAGTAAAGACAATGTTATTATTTTAATCACAACTTTTACTATCTTTGATATATTTTATATAAGACACTCTGGTGATATTTTCTGAGATACCAAACACAACTTCCATTGACATAATCTCACCTTTGAATTAAAAGCAAGCTTGACTACATCAGCAATGTTCATTTCATATGATGTAACATTGGCATCCTCGATAGTGACGTTGCTCAAGACATCTCCATTGTGATGCCAAGTAAGGTAGTAATTGACATCAACACGCTCACTGAAGTCAAAGCTACAGTGGAACATGAATACATCAGTTGTTCCATTGTAGCTAGTTGTCAAACTCGGCACGTCACGCAAGTAAGGGTAGTCTGCAACATAACAGGGTATGACAGGCAATGAGATGTATTGTTACCGTAGGTGGCGGGTACGATACCCTCTTGGTGACGACCAACTGGATTGTTTGGATTATGGTGGTTAGGTTATTTCTGTTATCAAAAAGGAAGGGATAATTACTTTAAGCAATAGCAATCATTATTAATTTTTAATCGCGAAAACAATGAGCTGCATAAGTTTTTGTGAGGGAATCGAAATTAGCTTTTATTGAGATAAACTTATGACTCATTTCTCATGAAGTTAAACATTATTTCAATGGGAGGAGCTAAAATCATTATCGATAGTATTTTGTTAGTTGATTTTAGCTGATTGAAAAAGAATTGTTTCTTAATGACTACTCATCATTAAGTTGAGTGTATATCAATAACCTGACAGGTGTCATGTACTTCTTACAATTTGTAATGGAGGATTTCTAAATTGTTCATTGATATTGAATGGTCTTGTACACCAGTAATTCAAATATATCATTGTAATCTAGCATGTGTCACAAGAATTTGTGGATTATTGTGTCAGATCATATTAATAGCATTCATTAAGGTCAGTTTTGATTCGCTCTTATGTTGAGAAGAAATAATGGCAACATTATCACAGAATTTAAAAAAGTAATGAACAACTGGTTGGTATAAGTATTCGGTGCTATTTCATTAAACTACAAACACAGCTGTTGGACCAGGTTGGATAAAGTACATCTTTCATTCTCTGTATAATATAACAGTGTCTCAAGGAAACTTGATCAAAACAACTGTGATTGGAAAGAACTGGCGTACAGAGTAACCTTTGAATAACATTTCCATTAGGAACAAACACTCTGACATATTATATACTGTAAATCTTAAAATAACGTGAAAAAATGCGAGTAGTCCTTGTTCGCATTAATGAAACTTCACATTTAGGTCTCCAAAATGACTATCAACAACACTTTGGATAGCGGAAATACCAACTTGAATATAAGGACAAACATGGTTGATTGAGCAGCAGTTGTAACAAGTATATAACAATGTCATTCGAAGAATAGGAATTACACAATAGGCATCCGGTGAGTTACACTTCTGGGGTCAAGAATTCTATCCACTTGTGTCAACTAGGCATCATTGACCACTCCAGCAGTCCAGACAGATGCCACCCACGCAACACCTCATCAAAGGCTGACATGACCCGACGGGCACCAATAGGCTTCATCGCACTCCTCAGATATACAGTCTTTGTCTTGTCATCTGCCTTCTAGTTTGTTGATACCAATCACTGAACTGTTGTTGGTTCAATTATTTTATTGCCTTTGAACTTCCTTAATGGCAGTCAACAGAATAAACAAATAAACTGTGTGTTGATTTTAGGAAAACACTGCAAATTGTTTTTACGGAAGTGCTCTACTCAGCGCTAATACGCGATGCTATTTGCTGTTTGATTGGATTAGGGTAAGGTTGGATTAAGGCAAGGATATGTATCATTCCACTAGGGATGGGGTGGGGGGAGTCGCATTGATATTGAGTCGCATTTTTGGATATGGGTCAGCAGTCGTATTAATTTGGAGACACATTAATTTCAAGATTTACAGTATATTGTACAAGTTGCCAAGACAAGACATTACCATAAATAAACGGGTGTTGAGAACCTTGCACAATGGTAGGCAATGCTTGCTGTACACTTCCTTTCAACAAGTTTGTTTGCAAAGTTGGAGAGCTTTAAGATAAGTGAATAAAACTACCCTTCCTAGACCACAATCTTAATAAGGGGGAATTTAATCAGCTTCAACAGAAACTGAAATAAAAATCTATGAATGCTTTAAGATGTTTGCCTAAAGTTGTTTCAAAACATTTAATTAGGATATGAGTAAATTTTCGAATTAAATGATAACTCTTAAAGCAGTGTCTACATCTTGTTTTAAGTAAGGTTTTTCCAGTGTTTGTAGAACTTATTTTTGTATATAGAAAGTGTGAATTCAATATCAAAACGTTTATAAACTTTTTTTTCTCACAGGCACCTAAGAGCCTTCTGAAACAACAACAAATACATCTTACTTATTACAAGTTAATGCTTTGCCAACACTGAATGGTCAATGAAGAATCCATTTGTCAGCCTCATCCCTGATTGGTTCATACTAAACCCATTTGTCAGCCTCATCCCTGATTGGTTCATACTAAACCCATTTGTCAGCCTCATCCCTGATTGGTTCAAACTAAACCCATTTGTCAGCCTCATTCCTGATTGGTTCATACTAAACCCATTTGTCAGCCTCATCCCTGATTGGTTCATACTAAACCCATTTGTCAGCCTCATCCCTGATTGGTTCATACTGAACCCATTTGTCAGCGTCATCCCTGATTGGTTCATACTGAACCCATTTGTCAGCCTCATCCCTGACCAGTGTTTGAAATAATTTTAAAAGTTAACCTGCCCGCATTCAGACATTAAAAATATTGAAAAATCACGAAAAGTAAGAGACAAATTGCACTGTGATTCAGTAGAAATAATGCCAACAATTACTTGAGAATATATGGGGAGTTATAATAAAACTGAATATACGTAAGCAGTCTGAAAATTATCTGCCAGACAGTCGGGCAGGTGGAGGAAAATTTCATGCATCCCAACAGCCATTGGCAGGTGGGCAGGTAGTTATTTCGTACACTGTCCCTGACTGGTTCATACTGAACCTATTTGTAAGCCTCACCTCTGACTGGACTCCAGCTTCTGTAGTTTTCAAAGGAGTTACACACAATTGTGTCATTATCTGGCTTCTTGTCCCCATACATGTAGCACCCGTTATCAATGAAGCAGGTATCACTCTGTCAACAGCAACTCAACATGATAAATCAAATATACATCATGTAACAGTCTAGTAAAATCAAGATATTGTTTATTCTTGTATACTTATCCTGCATTATTCCTTAATGCATTCACTACTTAACCTTTTGACAACAGTGAAGCTGTGATTGATCCTGCTGAAGAAAGAAAAGTGCTGTTCCATTCAGAAGGATGACCCCCCCCAATCACTAGCTAGCTGCCATGTCATACAGGAAGTGGTAGATGTCTGATGTCTTCATATCATTGTTGGTCACACGTAAAATGTCTGAAAATACTGTTGGTAGGCAGGTCTGTGACAGGTGGGCCCTTAGACGTAGTAAGGCAGGATAAGTATACAAATATAAAAAATAACCCAGTTTCATAGATTTTTAAACTTAACCTGCATTACTCCTTAATGCATGTGTATCTGAGGGTATGGAGGCGGGAACTCTAAAAGTTGTGTCAGCCGCATGGTGCAAATCTGTGCAGATCGGGAACTGATCATGATCAGCCAATCCTGTCCATGGAAAGGTAACAAGAGTATGAGTACATCTGATTAAACAAACAGTAAAAGCCAATAGTGTGCACTATAGTCTAGAAACTGAGATAAATGCAATAAAAACCCACAAAACAAGCGAGTAATGAAAGTATGTGAGTAGGGTAAGACTGGCTCTGGACAAGAATCAATCGCTTTTATGGCGTCGCGGATTGGGTACCTGCTGCTCTACAACCAGCAGTCCAAAACTGCAAATACCCTCAACGTCGTCTCAAGTAGTGGCTGGCGAAGAACAAGACGACCTCCCAAAACATCCTTCCATGATGGTTCTAATTGAACAATGACTGTATAGAGCCATTTTTGAGACAACTGCCTGAATCTCATTAGTAATCTCGTAAGCCTGAAGGATGATAGCTCACAACCATAAGGAAATGGTATTGCGTCTGACTTTGGTTGTGGAGGAAGAAACAGGGATAAACAATTGTTTCTGGGTACCACGTCTAGTCTTGGAGCGGCAGATGAAAACTCGTATTGCACGCACCGGGCATAATGAGAGTTCATCCTCATCTTCCACTCCCACCATAATGGTGGGATAGTGAAAGTATGATAGGGTCGTCCTGGCAACTGGTTTTTAGCTATAAAATCCCTGCATTTCCAGACCCGGATTGCTCAGTGCATACCCTGCTCAAAGCATACACGAGTGATATCGAGCGCAGTCCATGGGTTCCACTCTGTCTGGCCTGGATAAGGTGTCTGCCAGCACATTCCGACATTCCAGGTGTGTGATGGACCAGGATCGATCCACCAGGTTGTAAAACCTGAACATCTGTTTGAGCAGAGAGTATGAGTGTGTGGTTCCCTGCTTTCGCAGATGCCAGACTACTGTGATGTTGTTGGTTGAAATGGCTAGTTGGGTGTTTCGTAGGTGCTCATTCCAATGTGTTATCACCAGTATGAGCACCTTTAACACTAGGTTGTTGATGTGCCACTTGCACTATGCACCAGCCCACAGCCCTGAGGCTGTCTGATCCTCAGGATGCGCACCCCAAACCTGCAGAGATGCGTCTACGAATAGACGTGACGATGGGGATAACTCTTTTAAGGAGACACCTCCTTACACATTTGACTCTTACCATCCACCAATTGAGGTGAGTGCTGAGGTCGGCTGGTAGAGCGATGGATATGGGCAGGTCCTGCCAATGCCAACAAGACATGCTTCAAGCACTACAAGGATGTCTTCTGTACAAAATGATTATGAGCTTGTGTCAGCTGATACATACAGGTGCATATTCATTGAAGACTTTAATATTGGTTTCAAGTCACCAAAACGTGACACATGCAAAACTTGTGATCAATTCCATATTGAGTACAACAAAGCCAAACTTCAGCAGAATACAGAAAAGGCTGCAAAAATCATTAATGACAGGGAGCTGCACTGGAGGAAGGCAGAGGCTGGCCAAGAGAACATCAAGCGGCAATCACAATGGTCAAGATGTCCAGAAGGTGAACCATATCATGTTATGACATTTGATTCACAGCAAGCTTTACTGACACCAAACCTTTCAACTTTACTGACACTAAACGCAAAATATGGACATACAATTTGAACGTTCATGATAGTTGTTCAGACAAAGGCTATTGTTATGTCTGTGATGAATTGGTGGCAGGTCATGGGTCAGAAGATATTGGTAGTTGTGTGGAGAGATACATTGAAGATAATGGCATCCAGGATGGTACATTCGTGGCAATATCTGACAACTGTGCAGGTCAAAAAAGAAATTGGAACGTACAGTTTCCTTGGCTATACTTCTTGGCAACAGGACGATTTGAGAAGATTGAACACCATTTCCCCTTAAGTGGGCATAGAATGCTGCCATCAGATAGACATTTTTCCCTGATTGAGAATCATGTTTGCCATTGCAAGCAGTATGTTTTTTCTCCTGCGGAGTGGAGACAGGTAATTGCAGAGTCTTCATCAAAGCTCAAAGTTTTTGACATGTCAAGAAATGACTTCTGCCATTGCAAGTTGAGTGACTTCAAAGATAAATTCCCTGCCCGAAGCAAAACTACATATGGATATCCAGTGAAGTTCAAGGATGTGGTTTCTGGATGAAGTCAGATGAGTCGTTTGGCTTGGTTTGGAAACAACCTCTGCTTCAACACAGATGTGTGGAGTGTTGTCAGTGTCAACACGCAGGGAAGACCAAAATCTGATGTCACAGCAATGCAGTGTCAGCATAAATTTGGTTGGTTGGTTTGTTGTTTAATGCCGCACTCAGCAATATTCCAGCTATAATGACGGCGGTCTGTAAATAATCGAGTCTGGACCCGACAATCCAGCGATTGATATCATGAGCATCGATCCGCGCAATTGGGATCGATGCCATGCATCAACCAAGTCAGCGAGCCTGACCACCCGATCCCATTAGTCGCCTTTTACGAGAAGCATAGTCAAACTTTTGTTATCAGTATTATGTTATAAGTGTGTAGTTATAAGTGTTATTTCTGCAAATGAGATTTGTCATTTTCTTGAAGTTTGAGTTTCAGGAAAAAAGATGATAACCACCTTTTTAAGAAAACTGTGATAACCCACCGTATTTTCTGAAGGTGTGTGTCTGTGTCACCTCTCAAAGACATGATTTTTATTAACATTATTGGCTACATCTTTTTTGTAAGATGAAACATACATGAAATGACATGTAAAAATCTTATTATTTTTCAAATTTAATTTCCATCTTTTCAGGCAGCCCCATATTTTCAAATGCGATTTTCTCAAAATCATCTTTTTGTTGGTTATCTTCCCCCGAGGCGTTCATACTATTGCATACAAAATACACCAGACTGGACACCAACCGTCACATTCAGAAGGATATTGGTTTTTATATAGCAGTGTTGAAAGCCACAAGCCACTGAGGACCAATTAGCAGCACATGTATTCTGTATGGTGACCAACAATGATATGAAGACATCAGTCGTCTATCACTTCCTGTATGACATGGCAGCTAGCTAGTGATTGGGGGGGGGGGGTCCTCCTTCTGAATGGAACTGCACTTTTCTTTCTTCAGCAGGATCAATCACAGCTTCACTGCTGTCAAAAGGTAAGTAGTGAACGCATTAAGGAGTAATGCAGGATAAATTAAAGAATCATGATATTTATGTAAAGTCAGTATCTTGGACAAGAACAAATGTTATGGAATCGATTACCTTGAGTGTGCACTTCCCAGCCCCCTCACAGTCATGGCATTTAGAGTGGTAGACTGTGTACACCACACTGACACTAAAGATGATGTTGTTGTTGCTGACTGTAACAATGTAACTATCAGCTGTAGGAAGAGGACACACGACTTGGTTGGGAGTTACCAACACTGCTGCAACTGTCACATTCTCCCCCATCTGTGTGTAGGAACCCTCAGTTATCTACATTAAAGAAATAACATAACTAAAGCTTAAACATACATAAACAAATACTGCATTAACTATATGGAGATTATCATTGAGACCAAAACACTCATACAGCACTGTGCCCAAAATAAAAATAAAAATTAACAAAAACATCAAATAATTTTTTTCCCAGTTAATTTGGTCAAGCTATAGTGTTGTGGTATGGTAAAAGTAAGAATTGAAAGACTCTAACCTGTAGGAGTTGTAGGCGGCACACCAGGTCAGCAGAGGCAGCAAATGGCCCCCCAACAAGTGTGATGCTGTTACATTGTGACTGGGACACATCACACAATCCATTGCCTACAACATCTCTGATAGATGGAGCCTGGTCCAGACGGACATCACATGTAGATCCACCATATCCACCACGACATGAGCAGTTACCTGTAACAGTGTGTCAGAAGGTAGGTCAGGTGAAATGGTATTTGACATCCCTTCCAGGATGATTGCACTTCTGTAGCGACATGCATGCACGTGTGTGTGTGGCTGCTTGTACTTGTCCGGACTAATGCCAATTTATAGTGCTAGTACACTGAGATACCATGCCGCAGTTTAACATGAATACCCCACTCAGACACAGTATACTGACTCTGTGCCGACCAGTCCTTGTTTTAGCCTCTTAATACCGAGTGCCAGACAGGGTAACAACAAGTACCACCTTTAAACATCTTTAGGTATCAGGCGACCGGTGATCAAACCCCGGACCTTCCGCTCTCCAAGCAGACACTCTACCACTAGACCACGGAGGCAGTCTTCACAATATAAAGATGTGCTGTGTTAGATGTGTGGCTCCAGTACTTACATCGACTACTGACAGCACAGTTTTCAGCACACAGAGAAGTGATGAAGACAGTGTCAGGCTGCAGGACTCTGCCCAACTCCGCCCACAGGGTGGTGTTTCTCTCTGCCTCCCACAGGCAGCCATCTAGCAGGCTCAGTTGGGACACAGCTCCCCACACATTGTTGTCGGTCATCTACAAACAAACAATTTATATCCTAACTGATTTTCAGGATGTTTAGTTGAGTTCATATAATCAGAATCTCCTTCAACAGGGACAAGGTGAAGTTTCTGATATGCCACTGATACTTTTCACTACCAACAATATTTTGCTTTATCCCAATTGGGTCAATCTTGTCTGGTTGATGTTCACTGAAATTTGATCATCTTAATGTTTTAAATAAATTTAGTTCCTTCAGTTGATTAAACAATCTCCCAGCTCCCATTTGTCTCATTGAATAAATGGCTATTTGACATAAAACCGATCATAACTGAGACCATTTATAGACCTCACCAAACTTTAGTGACCAATGTTGATTTATTCATATTTGCGACCATCGTTACATATACTCACATGCGTCCACTTGCACAGAACAATCAGTTACAATTGATCTTAGGCACCTTCAATCAACTTTACAAGCACCATACACTTGTCCTTTTCCACTTGCACAAACCGATCTTAGTGCTATTGTAAGATGGCATGGATCTTAGCTAATATCGAACTCTTCAACAGTGGAGGTAAAAAAAAACTTAGTCATGTGTCATTGGTGACAGCTATGTAGAGTTTCCTCCCTTGTCACTTAGAATCTCCAGTTGCATCGTTCTGTCTCTAAAAACCTGTTATCTCCTTATAAATCTGCCATATTCTTCACAAAATAGCACTTGGTCGATTGTAAGGGCTAAAGACTGGTCCGGGCCAGTTGTAAGTATCGATTGTAGCCTACAATGATCTTAGCCTAATTGTGCAAGTGGATTGAGATTGTAGCTGAAACCTAAGATCACGATCACAACAATTGTAGCTTAGATTTTCTGTGCAAGAGGACCCAGGACTATTCATTGCATCCTTCTGAGGTACTAACACTGGTAGTAGCTTCCTCACTGTTTCATGCATTGGATGCAATAGACCCAGACAAGTTTTTATACCCAGTTTGTACCTTAAATTTGTACATGAAGAATATGAAATGACTCAAGGCTTTAATAACATGTCAGCATCGGAGTTGTTTTCATTTCATACACCTTAGTGGGGATAAATGTAGCTGCTTCATACATTTCTAAGTGGCTGGCTGGGACCATTCATGCAGACTTATAAATAATGCCTTGGATAAAGGTTCTCAGCAGTTTTGATTGATGCCATTCTACAGGCTTCTCTACTGGCATCAGAAAGCTCCATGGAACACATTCTGAGATTATATCTTTCAAAATATATATGTACACACATATTCTGGTGAGGGTCCTCCTGTGTAGGTTGTTTTTGTTGTTGAAATCTCCCCTATCTGTGTCCTGACTTCAATATATTTTGTACTTTTTGTCTAAGATGGAGATTCACACAATTCTAATACATTTGGTGTATTGCGAGACAATACATGCATATGTTGTTTGTGCCATGGTATTTTGCTGTTCTAAATGACATTAAGAAGACACCATATAACTGAAAAGGCCACGAGAAGTAAGTTTGATGGAAACAGGATCATTTCATTGTCAAGTTGATTGTCATTTGAATGTTTTTCACAGTCCTATTAGCAGACTGTTTCTATGAAGGTAATGACAAAAATCATATGCAGTCATTGACTTACTATTATGGGGTAAGAAAAAAGCTCAATTAAAAGTATCAAACAAAACTCAAGTTATTTCATTATAAGCTCACTTAATTGTAACATGTGAGAATTAAGGAATAATTAATGGCAAACATTACGAGCTTGGCTTTGGGTTCTGTAAGCATTTTAAAATGAATATTACACATATATTACCACTGTTTAAATCTCTGTAAAGTACAGTGAACCAGAATCCTGATAAGCATTATCACTTGCATAAAAATATACTCTGTTAGGTGTGAGGTAAAACAGACAGGGGTAGTGGCAACAAGTGTACTGAAAACATGAGAGTATGTAGAAAAGATGTAAGACAATTCAGTTACCTTGACTCTCTGAATGCAGAGGTGCATAGCCCAGTCAAAGTGAGAGGGGACAAGCTGTGCACACTGGGACAGTACATCCGAGCCATTGATCACTGACCGACAAATGTCTTGAACATCAGACTCAGTTCTGTTGGAAGCTGTTGGCCATTCATATGTCTGGAGGTAGAGAGTAGGTACAGTCTCTAACAACGCTTACATTTATCTATTCTTACAAACAACTAAGTTAGCATGGGAATTATTGATATTATACACAAGTCATACATGGATTCATAAGCGTAAACAGATATGGCATGGCCCCAGTAACCATGTTTTACATCACAACCTACGTTTAACCTTGAGATATCATTGTTTTAGTTCTGTTTAGTGTTGTAACAAATGAATGTCCATGTTCGTCTCACCCGTGGCTGGAAGTCGGCTTCATAGTGGAACATGGAAGATGCTGACTCCTCACATTTGCTAGAGGCTGTTGGGAGGCCTACATTACTGGTCACATCTGTAGTAATACATAGACACATATTTATAGTAATAGAGGAGCGTATTTATAGTAATAGAGGAGCATATTATAGTAATAGAGGAGCACATTTATAGTAATAGAGGAGTACATTTATAGTAATAGAGGAGCACATTTATAGTAATAGAGGAGCATATTTATAGTAGTAGAGGAGCATATTCATAGTAATAAAGGAGCATATTTATAGTAATAGAGGAGCATATTTATAGTAATAGAGGAGCAAATTATATTTATAGTAATAGAGGAGCATATTTATGGTAATAGAGGAGCACATTTATGATAACAGAGAAGAATATTTATAGTAATAGAGGAGCACATTTATGGTAATAGAGGAGCATATTTATAGTAATAGAGGAGCATATTTATAGTAATAGAGGAGCGTATTCATAGTAATAGAGGAGCATATTTATAGTAATAGAGGAGCATATTTAGAGTAATAGAGGAGCATATTTATAGTAATAGAGGAGAATATTTAGAGTAATAGAGGAGCATATTTACAGTAATAGAGGAGAATATTTATAGTAATAGAGGAGCATATTTATAGTAATAGAGGAGCGTATTCATAGTAATAGAGGAGCATATTTATAGTAATAGAGGAGCATATTATATTTATAGTAATAGAGGAGCATATTTATGGTAATAGAGGAGCACATTTATGATAACAGAGAAGAATATTTATAGTAATAGAGGAGCACATTTATGGTAATAGAGGAGCATATTTTAGTAATAGAGGAGCATATTTATAGTAATAGAGGAGCGTATTCATAGTAATAGAGGAGCATATTTATAGTAATAGAGGAGCATATTTAGAGTAATAGAGGAGCATATTTATAGTAATAGAGGAGAATATTTAGAGTAATAGAGGAGCATATTTACAGTAATAGAGGAGAATATTTATAGTAATAGAGGAGCATATTTATAGTAATAGAGGAGCGAATTCATAGTAATAGAGGAGCATATTTATAGTAATAAAGGAGCATATTTATAGTAATAGAGGAGCATATTTAGAGTAATAGAGGAGCATATTTATAGTAATACAGAGGAGCATATTTATAGTAATAGAGGAGCATATTTATAGTAATAGAGGAGCATATTTATAGTAATAGAGGAGCATATTTAGAGTAATAGAGGAGCATATTTATAGTAATACAGAGGAGCATATTTATAGTAATAGAGGAGCATATTTATAGTAATAGAGGCGAATATTTATAGTAATAGAGAAGAATATTTACAGTAATAGAGGAGAATATTTATAGTAATAGAGGAGCATATTTACAGTAATAGAGGAGAATATTTATAGTAATAGAGGAGCATATTTACAGTAGTAGAGGAGCATATTTATAGTAATAGAGGAGAATATTTATAGTAATAGAGGAGCATATTTACAGTAATAGAGGAGAATATTTACAGTAGTAGAGGAGCATATTTATAGTAATAGAGGAGCATATTCATAGTAATAGAGGAGAATATTTATAGTAATAAAGTGGAGCATATCTGTACTAATACAGTGGAGTATATCTGTATCAATACAATCTAGCATATCTGTAGTAATACAGAGGAGCATAATTCTAGTTATTCCTGCGAATACCATACCTCTCTTACATCATTGCAAAAATCCTGTATTTCAACTGCCATCACACAATAAAAATCCTCTCGGTTTTTAACCGAAGTCCTCTTCATCATCAGCTGACCCTAATAAGTTATGTGCAAAATAGTTTGCACTTTGTGCATGCGCAGAACAATGGTGGAGGAAAACTTTTCCTCTGCCATTGTTCTGCACATGCACAAAGTGGGAAAACCTCAAATCATTCCTGTGTGTGCTAGAGTCAACATCTTAAACAATCATAGTTCCCTTTGGTAGTTTTAATGTTGATTTCAAGGTTTTTTTCATTTAACATCATACGATACTGAAGAACCTTGTTTTGGGGTGATGAAGTTGAACTTGGTCACATAAGTATATTTAGTGACATGTTGTTGAGACAATGGCATCCACTTCTCCACTGGCATGTACTCGAGAGATCTGCATGTGACTTGCTGGAGGTGCAGAGATGCTCTTTGCACACTCAATAAGAGATGTCCAATGTGCTCCTCTCTCTCTCTCTGAGGCTTTGTTCAACAAGATGGTGGACACTTGGGAAAAAGCAATAAAGAAACGAGATAAAGAAAGCCAGGGAGACAGCTTCTACATCATCTGAGAAATGAGCCAGATTGAAGGGGAAGTCTACTTTGGTGGCTTTCAAGGCAGCAAGTCAATCAAAAAGCACCTCTGGTATCACATTCAGCAAATTTTGAGTCGATGCTCAAAACATAGCTGACGTGCATGCCTTGATTGACAGGGGTTCTCCATAACAAAATGACATGGACCACATCAAGAAGCTGGAACATGACATGACCCAGTATAGTAGTATTCCCTGGTCAAGAAGCCAACAGTGAGACAGATGACTTTGGGATCTGGTTAACAGGGGAGATATGACAACCGGGGATGTTGGAGGGACACTGCACTGTAGGGTTGCGAGGCTGCCATTCATGGGTTCCCAAGAAGATCTGATCACTGTTGGATTAGGGACACTGCACAGTAGGGTCAGGAGGCCACAATCCATGGGTTCAGTTGGAGTAGGGATATCCCATGGCAGGGTCATCAGACCGCTGGCCATGGACTCATGAGAACAGGTAGATACACCAACACCAGCTGCGGCCATCTAAGCCTACCAAGAGGGGCATGGCAATTGACCGTGAAGAATGGTTACCATCCAGGTACTGAGTGGATCATGCACAAGACATACCTCCTATTCAGGAATCGTACAGCGGCATGCCAGGAGATAAACCCCTCTTGAAGAGGTTGGACCAAATAGGCTTCATCCAATACAAAAACGCAGGAAGATCATTTATCATCACATATCAGGATGCAATCACAGCTGATACTGGGCCAGATACAACACTTGCTGTCACAGGTCCAGAAGGGGGTACCAAAAAGGGAATAGGAATAGGGGACCAAAAGAACAAACCAAAAAGTCAGTGACAGACAGTGGGACACTGTGGGTTTCAGGAACACCCAAAAGAAGATACATTACTTCAGAAAAGGAATAATTTCAGACCCCAAGTTGGAGGGACATATCTTTAGACCCTAGAACTACAGATTTAGATTCTTGAATACCAGACTTCAACCTAACGCCAACTCAGGGACCAGCTGGAGGGATGTCTTAAAAAAAAATTATGCTATATGCCGAGAAGCGGAACCATATTTCAACTGACCACCGGATGCTCAAAGTTGTAAGGGACAGATATTAATTACATTTACATAACTTTTATCCGGCCAATAGGCCAACAATTTCATCTGCTGGGGACCAAGTTGGTGACCGGGAACTTGGTTTTGTGGTCATTGATCACCATTCAAGTCATTCAAGTATTTGACAAAACAGAACAAACTAAAGGCTTTTACTCCTTGTCCTGAAGAAAAACACATCAGAGATGCGCATGGTCATGGTCAATTATTTCTGTTTTTGCCCACTAAAATTCCAGATGGAATCAGTAAAGAAACTACAAACTGTTCTCTGGATGGGAGACTGTTTGATCAGTTTGGACCTCAAAAAAGCCTACCTACATGTACCTATGCATCCTGGATCCCAATTATATTAAATGAAAACTTCTCATACTCTCATTCTGCATATTCCCATTGCCATTCACTCACATCACAGTACAGATCATCATGTTTGCACACATTCATCTGGTGTGGCTCCATATATGACTTCCTGTCAGTAGCATCAGGACAAGAAGCAACAGGACAGTAATAAAGAAAAGAAAGTAGTAAGCGATAATCTGCATGTTTTACATTCGCTTCTTCCTTCTTCCCACTGACTACGATTGTCTATGTTGAGAGCAAACAGGAAACAGAAATCATTCATACCTGCTAGTACCAGGTTTTATGATATGTTTTGTTGATAAATAATTGTTAAACATTTATTCGCTAGAGCCACATTTAATGTTGATTATGTTTCTGATGTCCTTATTTATTTGATGTGTTTGTCATGAGCTGAGACCTTGTGCTGATGTAGCCCAAATTTTCTCCTGGATGATAATGTGGTATCTTAGGCTAAAAAAATAGGCAGGCACCGCTGCATCATCACATAGTCCGCCATACGTTTTGTTTTTATTTCCATTTATACATGCGCATTTCGTTTTATGGTTATGGCGGCCATCAGAGTTTGAGTGCTTGTTTTACCGTTTGCAAGTTTGGTCAATGAACACATGAAATTTACAATAAAACATCACTAGACATGATGATTTACAAATTCAGTGGTATTTGTATACTGAATGCTGGACAATGTTTCAAACGCAGAGATTAAGATTACATGTGTATTTGTCTCGTAAAATATGCTTGAAATAGCAATCAGCTGTTCATCCATTTTTTCCCCGATCTATGGGTGATTTCAAACTACTTCATGTCATGGCCAATGTCATAACTGAAAAGAAATTCCAATACAGTGGTAGAACGACCGAAAGACTTTGTATCTCAGACTCTAATGACTAGTGTTCGTTTCAAGGTGAGTTCATGGTGTGTTGATGTGATTAACCGATCAGTTACATGAATTCGCCGAAATAAATGTAAACAAAATTGAATGAGATCTCAGATATAAGTTATATAATGAATTACAAATGTAAGTTCAGATACACAATGAACACTTTTAAAGCCAGAGAGTGTAATAACAGGACTAACTTCAGTACGGATTTGTTCACATGCTATTTCCTGTGTTGTGTGCTCTTTATCAAGGAATAGATTTATATAGGGAGGCCCTTTCTCAGGTTAATTGTACACAACTGTTTATTTGGTTACATACTAGTTTGAACAAATAACAAAACAAAACAAAAACCCGTCACCCACACCCTTTTTTCAAATCCATTGCCTGAGAACCGATTCTTTTATTTTGTTAAACCTTAACACCAGCAGAATATGATAGTCTGCACACAACTACTGGGGTTCCTTGTACACCCTACAAAGTCCCAAACCAAACCTGTGCATGATTGCATTTATGTAGGAGCAAGATTCCTATTACACTAGGGTTTCTTATGCCCTCCAGAAGATCGATATCGGAAAACCAAGGATATGATCATAGAAGAAACAGATCATCCCAACTAGTCGTTTTGTTGGTGGATATCATGCTTGCGGACATTAACGTCTATGCAGGATCTAAGTTTCGGAGGAAGGTTTCAAATACCGGTATGACTAATCCAAGTATGGTTGAACTCGACAAGATCAGCAAATATGGAGACACCTTAGTACAGTTTCCATCGGAACTGTGGTAGAATCTGAATTGGCAGAATTATCAGCAGATTGTGATGACAAGGATCCCCTTAAAATTCCCTGTGCCCGAACATCATCTGTTTCCAGATGCATCCAGGCTAACAGTCCAGGATGGGGAGCTCACATGGACAGGTGAACAGTCCATGATGGCGAGCTCACATGGACAGGTTAACAGTCCATGATGGGGAGCTCACATGAACAGGTTAACAGTCCATGATGGGGAGCTCACATGGACAGATGAACAGTCCACGATGGCGAGCTCACATGGACAGGTTAACAGTCCAGGATGGCGAGCTCACATGGACAGGTTAACAGTCCACGATGGCGAGCTCACATGGACAGGTTAACAGTCCACGATGGCGAGCTCACATGGACAGGTTAACAGTCCAGGATGGCGAGCTCACATGGACAGGTTAACAGTCCAGGATGGCGAGCTCACATGGACAGGTTAACAGTCCACGATGGGGAGCTCACATGGACAGATGAACAGTCCACGATGGCAAGCTCACATGGACTGGTTAACAGTCCAGGATGGCGAGCTCACATGGACAGGTTAACAGTCCAGGATGGGGAGCTCACATGGACAGGTTAACAGTCCACGATGGCGAGCTCACATGGACAGGTTAACAGTCCAGGATGGGGAGCTCACATGGACAGGTTAACAGTCCACGATGGCGAGCTCACATGGACAGGTTAACAGTCCACGATGGGGAGCTCACATGGACAGATGAACAGTCCAGGATGGGGAGCTCACATGGACAGGTTAACAGTCCACGATGGCGAGCTCACATGGACAGGTTAACAGTCCAGGATGGGGAGCTCACATGGACAGGTTAACAGTCCACGATGGCGAGCTCACATGGACAGGTTAACAGTCCAGGATGGGGAGCTCACATGGACAGGTTAACAGTCCAGGATGGGGAGCTCACATGGACAGGTTAACAGTCCAGGATGGGGAGCTCACATGGACAGGGAAGCTGGCTACACACCACGAGAAGAAGCTCCACATAAATTGTGGACCACAAACATGTCTGAACAACAAAGTCACAATACATGTCAGTCCGGTTCAGGATCCACAAGCCCTACAAGTGTAGTAATACAGTAGCGCATATCAATGGAGAAGCATATCCTAATGTGAATGAAAGTCATACATTTGGTATATCTATTACCTACAAGGGCAAACATATCAGGGTTCATAAAAATAGAACATTACATTATACGAGTGAACACAGGCTGACATGAACACTCAAATAATATCTTCTATGTGAATGAAGGTCATACAGTAGGCATATTTATCCATTGCAATTCTAATAAATCTACTGGATGACATTCAGGATTCCACATACCCGTGAACTCTATATCTGCAGTCCCTGGACAAGGCATAATGTCCAGTCTGTCATCACAGGTGTCATTGCGACCATCAAGACAGTCACAGAACCTTGACAACTCAGTCATCACTGCCTCCTGACAGTACCCGCCATACAATGTCATATTTACAAGCACTCTGAAAAAAGGCATACATCAGGTGATTGGCATAATGTATTGTCTATAAAATTTGATTAAACCCTTTGTTGTTTCAGTTACTAATGATGACATTTCTGTCCTTATATTCTACACGATTCATTATTAAATAATTATGTTCATCATGGGTAATCAGTTGGTGTGAGAGAGTACAGGAACCAGCTAGCATGGATGGAACTGAGGTCAAAGGTGCCACCTCATACTATTTATTGTATTTAGGCCCAAAATGGCCAAGCTGGTTATAAAATAACACTTGTGAGCAATGAGCATTGACATCACACACACACACTCAAACAGTATGAAATCACCATATGATTAGAACCATTTCAAGAAAGTTATTTTTGCAAATGAAAGCATTGAAAAATTATTAAGATCAAAATAGAAATAAAAACTTTATCAAATGTTTTTTTCAGACATAAATACTTATAATAAAAAAAATTCAAAACATGTAAAATATGTAAAACTCGAGCAAGGCATTATTTTAACATTGTTATATGTGTGATGTTACTGACCGCCATGAGAGGGAGAAGACATCAGGCCTTGATCCAGGTCTTTCATAGATGGATCCATCCATCATTTCCAGGTCATTCAAGACATCTCCATCATACGATCCACACAGTCCTGAAACAACAGTAGAAAACTGTGAGACAGAGATCCTTGGAACTTAGTTCTGCTGGTTACTAACACCTACAATAGAAACATACTGCATCAGGTAGCAGGACTTAATGTTCCTTCAAAACTACTGACTTTGACTTACCTAAGGTGTTGTTGAAATCAACAGGTGACAAAGTGACAGAGATGTCCATGTCTTGGAAGTTATTACCTCTGAGGCGGACAGTGATGTGCGTTCCAGTTGGCAGGCTTATCTGGAACATGTACGTAGCTTCATTGTGAGAAGGATAAGTGACATGGGCTTTAATTCAAACAGTATATCACTCATATCAGTGTTATCACGCTAGGTCAGTGTTAAACGAAACTCCAAATGTTGTGTTTCTTAGCCTTTAGCACTTTGGTGAAACCTCAACCACTGGTGTGGTTTCAAACCCATGCATATTAAGCAGGCCACCGAGTGGGAGGAACTTGGATTTTATATAATCTTTTCAACAATAGATATAACCCATAATCTGACCTGTAGCTTGTTTCCACTTCCTGAAGTTGAGATGGCCAACCCTGGTGTCAATTGTCCATTCTGATGGACTTTGACAGTGACAGACTTAGTGATGCTGGGTCCACATCTATCCACCATGATGACATCATCACCAGCCATCACAGCCAGCCCACACGTTCTGGTCTGAGTGAACACGTGTACCTGAGGGTGACATATATTAAAATGGTTGAGATTATTGTGCTGCTCACATGCTTATATCCCTGTATACATGAGTCATACAATGGGATTTAATGTCATGTCATCATAAATCTTCTGCAATATCACAATAGCCTAATATGTGTTTAATCATGTCTGGAGTAATACAATACATGGCTCCATGCTCGATACTATTAGGATACAATCATACTGCATTCAATCACAGCTACAGTCTCAGTCAGCAATTCACACGAATACCCTCAGAACATAATACCTATGTTGGACTGAAGGCAAAAAAGAAATATTTATTTTAAGGCTAAGAATGCCGGATTCAAACTCTCAAATTCTGTTTTACAATGTTCACATGATTTATCCTTTTGTTATGGATGACCACCCATGAAAATCTGGGTCAGAAAAGGCAACTATGCTTGTTGTAAGAGGCAACTAACGGAAGCAGGTGGTCAGGCACACTGACTTGGTTGATGCATGTCACCATATCCCAATTGTGAGGTCAATATTCATGATGTCAATCACTGAATAGTCTCATCCAGACTCGATTATTTACAGACTGCAATCATACAGCTGGAATATTGCTGTCATCGTCTTCAGAACACCTGGTGTGGTTAATAACTATACCACTTGTACTGTACCTCATAGGGCATTGTCTTGTGTCTGTACAGAATAAACTCCCCTTGGTTATACGTCTCATAGAACCTGCCATCTGCTGTGGCTACATAAGGAAAGGCAAATCCACACCAAGATTGCTGGTCTTTATCCACAATAGTTAACTGAAACCAGAAGAAGTGCCTCATGCATTATTGTTTTCATGGCTACAATTTAAAGTTATAGGATATTATATAAAACATTTTCCAATCAAATCAGCACAGAAAAAGAACTTTTTTGTATGTCAAATGTTTGGGATATTATCATAATTTTACAAGAAGTGAAGTTAGTGACAAACACAAGGGTGACTACTGCAAATAGTATTACAATAGTTAAATCACATTCGCAATAGTGGTACAACTGTATTGTGACAGCATGGTAATACCTTCCCAAATGTCCTTTACTTTCATTATTCAACATGATAATAAAGACTAACGTACAAAATTCAGCAGTTTGTAAGGGAAGTTAAAAGATGATTTTCTGGTACAGATATTCCCTGGGATTCCTACATCTCCTCAACCAAGGGACATTTGGGTTAAAAACAATGAGTTAATCAAAAACACAATTTTATTTTATACTTTAGTGTGAAAGACTGAGTTTTCTGAAGTTGATAAAAGTGATATGCAACTGTTGTCATACCAGAGTTGCCTCCCCTTAAATTGTCTCCCTTTATTGTAAGTGTCTAGCCCATACACAAACTGTTGACATCCTTTTTACGTTAGTTCCACATTGACAAGTCAAAATAAAGACAGACGGTCATTTATGGAGTTATTATCACTTCTTGCCATTTGTTATTCTCTCAAAAATGTTTTGTTATAAACTGTAAATTTCTCATTTAACTTGTCAATTGAGACTGTTCGTTTCGCAAAGCTCCATTTTTGTTACCTGAGCAGTGTGTATTCTTTCGCTTCCAACAGCGGTCTTAAGAATATTTGTTGTCAAAGTTGATTTTGTATATAATTATAACTAAATGTATGATATTAGACCCTAAATAATTTGTGATACTTTTGTTTATGTTGTTTAAGATTTTGTACACACGAAACTACTTAGATGCAAACACAAGGGGTGGTGAACCATCCCTGTGTGTTAGGTAGGGAAAACTTACGTTTCAAGGTTTTACAGTTTCATGAAATAATTAATTTTCTGGTAGACATCTATCTACACAACAAGTATATAATAAAAAGGATATTTCATGTTTCATGAAATATCATCTTTCTCTCATCTCGTGACAGAGGGAGAGGAGATACACTCGACACATGAAATATCCTCTATTTCTTTTCATTTCACACCAACTATCTAACCATCTATGGTGTACCTTGATAGCAATGTTGACTACCAGCTACTGATGTGATAACTTGTCACAGATGTTTACACTTGGCAAATGACATTGTGCAGTAGTTCATTCAGCAATTACTCCCTTAACATGTTATGCTGACTCACATTGATTGTCCTGAGAGACTGCAAGTCAGAGAGCCCACTGGACACTGACATCAGTTGGTAGCCAACAGTCAGGGATCTGTTGTGATCTCCATCATAGAGTCGGTCTAGCTTAGCCAGCAGGGAGATCTGCTGTTTGTCTTGCCAGTTGAACATGGTAAACTCAATGCCGCACTTGGATTGGTTTGGCATTCCACCAATCACAACTTGTTTGATGATGTCACCTGATCCACACATGTAGTCCATGGTGTCCTCATTTAGCAGGGCCCGTACAATGATGGTGCAGTCTGTGTGGTTGTCTGAGGAGTCACAGATGAAGGATGGGGGCACTTGAGATGTGACAGTCACCTGAGTAGCTGGACCACCTTCCTCAAGAGTTATCACACTCTCACTTCTAACCTGGAGCACATATCACAATCACATACAGAGACACACCAGGCATTCCTACAGGATCCCAGGAATGGTACAATGTTTGGCGATTGACTACATACATTAATATTAATAATATTCAACTTTCATCTTGATCTTATCAAGATTAGGATAAGATTATTACATGAGTGTGTGTTTTTTATATAAACTGTGTGTATTTCATGAGCTCTTAAAATCAGAAGCATACATTACCTAATGTAAATATTACTTGTTATGCATGTTTTATGGTAAAGTTGTATATTCTACATTAAAAACTATGTCATGAAGCTGAGAGGATCAACAATGATAAGAGTATGCTCTGATGTCATTGCTATAATCGGAGCATCAACACTGACTCTTTCGTATTACTCTGTGCTCTGTTGAACTTGCATATCCTGAACCAATTGGATAAGTGGAAATTTACCTTCACAACAAGCTCTATAAGGTTACTTCTCCTGATAGCTCCTGTAGTGTTGGAGCAGTTACTTTGATAGCAAGCCACTACTGCACAAGACAACTGTACCAACAAAATAGTCAATTGTAACATCCATACAAATGGTAACATTTAACATTCATAATGTGCAAGTTAGAAATTTGTATTTGTCTATATTAAAATGTCCATCCTTTGAAATAAATAAACAAAAATATATATATCTTTGCAATAAAATGTTTATGGAGAGCAATTTGTTTGTTTGTTTGATGTTTAACGCCACACTAAGCAATATTCCAGCTATATGACAGCGGTCTGTAAATAATCGAGTCTGAACCAGACAATCCAGTGATTGACATCATGAGCATTGATCCACACAATTGGAATACGATGACATGCATCAACCAAGTCAGGGAGCCTGACCACCCGATCCCGTTAGTCACCTCTTACGACAAGTATAGTTGTCTTTTACGACAAGAATGGGTTGCTGAAGACCTACAGGCATTTAATGGTATTATTTCATACCTTTGTTCCATACTTTAGCTGTGTGAGGAAGGTCCTATTCATGTACAGTAGCACATTTCCATCCTCATTACCATATGCCAAGGGTCCAGTGATGTCCACAATGTCTTCATCCACAAGCCACTCAACTGTGTACTCAACACTCACATTCGCGGTCTTTACTCGTGGGAACTCACAGGCCATAGTCAGGGCAAATTCTTCACTCTCAGGAACACTTTTGATACTTGCCTGAGGGTTGCTTGGAATAAGAGCAGCACTGACACCTGGAAGTAGTAGTATGTGTTTCTTTGTAACTTACACTATGGCAAATGTGGTTTGTTTGAATAAATACTACAGTTTATAGAGGTTATTATGTAGGTTTGTTTTGGGATGGTCAATATCCTGTATTAAAAATTGTATTTAGTGAGCCTTGGTAAGCTGAATACATAGTGTTTATTCCTAATACATTAACCTCTATATCGTGTAATGTCATGCTTACATTATATCTTCAAAATAAATATTTTTATTTCTGACAGTCTGCCTGCTAAAGTAATTGTTTTTTATCAAAGGGAAGCTACTCTAGTCAAAGAACCATCACGTTTGTTTAAACTCTGCCTGGCCTGGCATAACATTTTGGTTAATGGATTGCAAAATGCACTCAGATATTCTACACAGTGACAAAATGAAACAAAGTAAAATTTTGAACATATCTCCAAATCCAACTGTTCTTAATTTTGGAAAAGACCCCAAGCCACAAAGATTTACTTAACTCCAGTGTAGGAACTGATATTCTGACCGTTCTTGCTAATTATTTTACAATATATATCTCAAAAGTTACCTACACATGTGAAATGCCTCAGCTACGCCCCTTTTGATATGTGATTTCAGTATTTTACAGTACTCGTTTGATCACAATAACAAGTATCCTAGTAATTTGTCCAGGTCCCTAATCATTGATTCTGATTCAATTGCTGACAGACAAGGGCAATCTCATGTTTGCTATTACCTACCTAAACCTTTTATTTTATTTCGACATTTATCTGTAAATGACCCCAACAGATACAAGGTTTTTCCACTGGCTTTATCCTGCCAAAACAAACCTATCCATTATATGATAAAATTGATTACACCTTAGTTGGTATACTATTTTCAACAAATTCTTTCTGGCCCTATATTGACGCAATTCCCACCTGTACTGAACGTCCATTCCTCAAAGACATAACCATTCCAGCGCACCAGGCCCACTCCTGCCTGCTCTGAGGTGACCGTAGAGAGAGTACACAGTCCGGCCTCTCGCAGAAGCTCAAATGACTGACACACAAATGTTGTCTCTTCTAGACAAAGCCTACGACAATCCACCAGCTGAAACACCCCTTGAATCTGACGGGAGTCTCTCTTCAGTACTGCAAAGCCTCGTCGGCGGTGGAAAGTTACCCCAGATTTGCCACCAGGGTCTGCAAAAGATATATTAAGTATTTGTTGCTCAGCCATTGATCTAGCATTGATCTACTTTCATGACGTTGATCAAAAACCTCCACATCACCGAAACACCCCCAGGGAGTAGACAGTTATACTATCCTACCGATATATTTACATACCATTCATTTGAAAACAAATACCAAAGCTGTTAGATTTTGCTAAAACCGAATTGTTCACATGTGGCACTGGCATAATCTATTCCTGCTTAGAAAGAAAATAAAGCCACAACAAGGCTCTGTAGCTCATCTGAATTTTACTGAATATCATAACTTAGTATCTATGCAATATACATCCTTACATAAAGGTAATTAAAATACACATTTTACTTTGCATAAGTCAAAATTACATGTTTATTATGAATCACAGCAGTAAATATTAAAAGTTAAGTTGTGACAAATATCACAATACAAAAATAAAATAGAACATGTGTTATTGTCCTACAACACATCAAATACTGCATATCAAATATCATAATTATACATGGTGTGTCGTTTTCTCAAAACCCTGATATATATAACAAAGTCACAATGCGACAACACTGAGGAACAGGGGAGCGTACAATCTGCGCAATGGGGGTGTGGATTCTGGGCTGATTTATTGCCCCTGCATTGTGAGCAGCGTGACATATAATTTCAAAGAAATAGACAAGCGTTGACAACAGATTAGACACATAGGTCAACAAAGAAACATGGGCATGTAATTGTAACTCAAACATGGGGACATGGGGATGGTAGCATTTTTGTATTTGGTGTCGTTGTCAACGACGGTGCGGCAGGTTGTTGAGGAGCAACAGTCTGGTGTTGAAAGCCGGGTAGTAGGGACGGCATCGTTGTTGGCACGGCTCAGGATGATGGTTCAATCAAGTTTAATTCCTTCTGCGAGGGGGCAACAGGCTGATTACTGTTGGCATTGCTGGGCCTGGATTAGGCCTTCTGCAAGAAAGGTCGGTATTGTGTACCATTGAGACCAGATGGTGATGTTGAGTGAATATGACCGAGTGAATATGACCTGGCAAATGATCAGCAACTGTGACTGTGGGTGTGGGTGTGGGTGTGGGTGGATATACAGGAGCGTATTTGTGGAGGAAGTTCCTGTTGCACAGACTCACTCTGCCTGAGCCGCCCATACGTACAACATACTGGTCGAATTGGCAAACTTTGATCACACATCCAGTTTTGTCCCATTTCAGTAGATGAGGAACTGTGTGATTTTGGATTCGGACGAGATTCCCAACAACAAGGGGTGGTAGCTGTTTGGTGTGCTCAGTAAGCCGTTCAGCCGTCCTCATATGTCGGTTTCTCTTAGGGGTCTACCAAAGACGCACATCGCAGGGGATAACTTGGTGTCTCTGTCTGGAGTGTTTCTGTATTGTAGCATTGCACGTTGGAAGGCCTCAGTGTCAAGTTCCCTGTTAGGTCCTGTGTTGTTCATTATCAATCTTTTGACAGTCTTGACACCGACCTCTGCTCGACAATTGCTGTGTGGGAAGCAAACAGATGACAGGCGATGATGCACACCCAATGTTCGAAGGAACTCTCTGGTAGCCGAGACTGAATTCAGGGCCACCATCAGAGGATAGCTCATCCGGAATGCCAAAGGTGACAAATGTTCGGCATAGATAATCAATCAGGCCAGGTGCACCATTGGAAGTTCTTTCAACTATAGGCCAGTTAGAGTATCTGTCGACAACCACTAAGCAGTTGATCCCTTTGTAATGGAAAAAGTCAGCACACACACATTGAAATGGGTAGACTGGGTAGACAGGTGGCATGGGTGGGCCACAAGGTTGGGAGGGGGCCATACGGTTGCAGTGATTGCAATCGTTTCTGAGGGCTGTGATAGCTGGAGTGATTCCAGGCCAGAAGACAGATGCTTCAGCTCTTGCCATCATCGATGACACGCCTTGGTGAGCGGAGTGGAGTGCAGTCAGGACATCCTGTCCTAGTAATGGGGGAATCACGATTCGATCCTTGTATATGACAACCCCATCAACCATATGAAGATTGATGAGATTGATGGTATTTGCGAAGTGATGCTGGTAATTCATGGTGGAATTCTGGCATCCCTGATTCAATCATCTCCACCAGCTTCACAATATCCTTGTCACTGCTTGTTGCTACCCGAACCTTGTCCCAGGTGATGGACTGGAGGGAGCTGATTGATGCCACGGCTGAGATTATAACTGAGTCCTCAATGCTGTCAGGCTTCTCGCTCCATCTTATTGAGGCTAGTATCATGTGACTGACATTTGAGAAAGTTGGGGTGTCAAGCAAATCGTCATCATGGCAAATGGCTGCGACATCATATATTAACACCATTTTCTCAGGGTGGCCAGTTGGATGGCAGGACACAGCATCAGCAGCGTGGTGTTTTGCACCTGGTACATGAACCATCTGGAATTTGTAGTGCAATGTTTTTCCCTTAAGGTTTCGGAGTCGAGCAATGGAGATATGTTCGAGGGATCGGTCGCCAAACAGTTTGAGGAGAGGTTTGTGGTCGACCGCAACAGTGAGATCATTACAGCCGAGAATGAAGTACCTCGCTTTGTCCAGTGCATCAGCAACTGCCAATGCCTCTCCTTCCACAGGGGCGTAGCGGGATTCAGCTGCATGGGTGAATTGACTGCCAACCAGAGTGATTTTCTACCATTGTGACAACAGAAAGGCACTGTCTTGGGGCATTTGAAATGTTTTTGGAATAGCCAAAATCCAATTCCACCTTTTGACCAGTCAATAGCAAGGAAGTCGGCTTTAGTTTGTCATATATTTGTATACCCTCCTCAATCTCAGTGACAATGACTTCCTTTGATTCCTTAAACAACATGTCTAAGTGGTCATCCCAATCAAAAAGGTGTCCCAGGCTTCAATAGCTGATGGTATGGTGACATCCTCTCTGCCATGCTGAAAGCATAAGATACCTGGTTGATTAGGCAAAACCGTGACCACATGTCTGTAATATTTCTTGGTGTGGGAAAGTCCAAGATGGCTTGGAGGTACTTTTTACAGGGCAGAACAGTAATGTGTTATCTCAAAGCCTGCAAATTGAACAGTATCCTGAGCAAAGACAAACTTCTCAGGGTTCAGTGTGATGCCGGTTCTACCACAGATGTCAAGCCATGCGCAAGCTTAGAAGTAGCACTCTGTAATGTCATCAGCGCAGAGGAGTGCATCATCTACGCACTTGGTTTTGTTAGGTACATCAGCAACAATTTCATTGAAACACCAGGTGTAACCATCTCCTGATGCAATGTATTCTTTGGGGGCGGTGAGATATCTGTATCTTCCCCAGGGTGTGATGAATCTTCATCCCAAATGGGTATGCTATAGTAACCAGTCCAAGCATCAAATACAAGTCTTCTTTTTGCCGTGCGGTACAGATCTGGCATGGTGGAATGGGGACTGTGTGTGGTGTGTTTCTCTGATTGCATGTGCGTTAAGAGCATGAAAGTCAACAGTGCGTCTTGGTTTACCATTCTTCTTGTGACAAACAACCATTCTATGGCACCATGTGACAGGTTCACCTATTTGTACTGGCTCGATAACACGTAGCCGGACGTCTTGATCCAAGCCAGTTTTGACAACATCTTGCCAGTGGAGAGGAACTGGTACAGGTGTGTGGTAAGCAACTGGTGCAGTATCGGGGTCAGCCATAAGCTTCATTGGAGGGCCCTCCATGAGGGGGAGTGGTTGGTGTTCACAAGTGTTGAATGTGCTTGACTTGTAAAGGTCAAGAAGGTGCTGCTCTAATTTGTCTCTGTTTGCTTCAGTTGCAGGATAGGGCAGTTTAGTAGGAATGGGGGTTGGTAACTTGCGTCTTGGACATTCACATTCTACACTAATGTAGTTCTCAATGTGTGCCTTGGTCGAAAATGCCCTAGTAGAGTCAACAGCTTCACTCATGTTTCCTGTAACTTCACTGATCATGGGGAAGTTTCTGGTAATCATGCCGAGTGCAATGCAAGCCTCTCTGCTGAGGATGAATTTGTCAGAGTTGTCTGTAATGTATACAAGCTGGCGGGTCTCAACTGAAATACCATCAGGGTCTTTGCCTGATAGCCGCATGATGATTGCACCGAGGATAGTGATGCCCTTGTTTGCTGCATGCATCTTCATTGTCACAGGAATGAGATCACGCTTTCTGAGCCCAAGTTGATACATTACCTTGATACCAGCAAGACAACTCTGACAGCCAGTGTCAGCCATGACGGCAAGGGTAGCTGATTTTGGTTTAAATGTGAAGATGTGTCCGAAGTCCACTTGTTCATAGTCTTCCCCAAGAACTTTTGCAGTGAGATGAGTAAAAGGCTGAGGTTGAGAGGCTTGTCTTATCCATGTCTCAGACAGTTGGTCATACAGGTGGTGGGCAAGGGTGATGGCTCTTTTACCACGATGCCAGCCAAGGTTTGTGACTGCACACAGTGTATCAAAGATTGCACCTCTGGTGTTTTACTGGGTTTCTCCAATTTTTGCTTGTTTCTGCTGCGGGACACAGAATCAAGTGATTGGATCGACTGCACAGCGTGCAAGTATGACCATAGGCTGGGCATTCTTTCTTTCTGATTTTGGGGGCTGCAGACTTTCCGTGCCCCTTCTTGCTACAGCAGTGGCATACTTCAGATTTATCAAACTTTTTAGTTTCGCTGTGAGCTGCATTCCTGCTGCGTTGGTAAGTGCTGCTGATTGCTTCAGCACCTTGAGAGTCAAGAAGTCATGATGCGGAATGATTACCAGCTTCTTCGGCTTCAACAAACTTGAATGCCTGCTCAAGAGTCATGTTTGGGTTTGTTTTTTCACCAAGGAGGTCTAACTAGATTTCGGGGTCATTCCGGCCACGTGAGCACATCCCGCAAAATAGCCTCAGTGTAGTTTACTTCATCGTGACAGCCTGGGCATGAAATGACAAACGCTCCAGCTTGACCCTGAAACCTAGCACCAAAGGAACGAACAGTTTCATCACGGTCCTGGGTCTTACTGTGAAGAGTAACACGCGCCACTGTGGTGTTCTCCTCTCTTACGGCAGGAATCTCGAATGGCTTCCAATACTATTGCTTTGGGTTTGTCAGTCAGGGACCCACCTGCAGTACGTGTTAGATCTCTGCGTAATGTCTCATCACAGCATTCCAGTAGCTGCACAAGATCCTTCCCTGTGTCCTTGGTAGCCTCCACATAGTCTTTCCACCTGGAAATGAAGTATGACCAGTCCTGCCTTGAGCCGGCCTAGGATATAGTTGGTCGCTTTACTTTCTCGACTTTGGCAGAGCTACTAGGACCATCATGCGGCAATCACCACAGAATCAAGGTCTTCTGATAAAAGTCACATGATGGGACCGGACACTGTACTGTTGGCATTGAGTTAATTGATCGCCATTATAAATGAGTAGGTGTTATACTGTTTTGATCTGGAACACAGAACAGGAAACTCAACTTAATGCAACACATGATTGTATAATGTAAATGTACAGAATCCTCTATAAATACCCTAACATATGCCTAAAAAGACCATCCTAGTACACAGACTATAATCTGCATAATTGAGAACACACTGGTCACAAAGAATAAGCGAAAGGATGGGCAAAGGATGCTATCTGGTTCTTCAAAATGGGGAGCTTTATTCTCAAAAGTTTCTTCAGTCTGATGACTAGCAGTGATGTGATTATACATGACCTTGCCACTTCCGGTCACGTGGTAGCTGTGGGAGTAAGGAAGCCACAGAACTAGTGGTTAAAACAACTTCTGTAGCCAGGACCTCGAGCTCACAACTCCGTCTCCTAAGTTTAAAAAACAGCAGTAGAACCATGAAGGTAGTAATGCAGGATAAGATAAAAAATATATACCATTTTCAATATAGATGCAGTGGCAACCATATTTCAATATCAGATCAGAATTCGGTGAGCCCATATAACTGTGATGACGTAAAACAAAATGTTGAAAACTGAATAACACAAGGTCACTTGACTTTCAGTCAGGGGACCTAAAAGAATTTTTTCTTTTGGTGTATTGGACATTTATTTGTACTCAAATTCAAAGGCTGACAAAATCTTTTTTGGAAAGTATTTGCCAGAGAACTAATTTTGTTTGGATATATACTGGCAGTGTTTCCCCTAGTGTAAAGCTCACTGTTATTGCACTGCCACTCATAGTAGTATGTGTCAGGTGTGAGGATGAGACTGCTGGGCTGACTGCGCTTGTCCTCTGTGTTCAGTGTACAGTTTCCTGATGTCAAGTTGTAATTAAAGGAACTGCACTCATATGGAGTACCATCCCTCTCCAGACAGGCCACTTGACATGACACTGGGTCACCATTGCTCACAACTTCTTCCTGGGAAAACCCCAACAAACTGTAACCTCTCTGACGATACCACACCAAATCCAGAGTTTGACAAGAGTCTGAAAGATTTAAACATATTTCAATCATTATTCATTATAATTAACATGCCAAGATCCTATTCTGTGGAATCAAGTAACTTTCTTCAGTTCACTACATTAAAAGTTCACAAATATCTACTAATTTTTTATTATCTTAGACTAGTACAGGAAACACAAATGTCAGGCTGATCCTATCTGCTGTTGTGTTTTAATCTCTTTACTTATATAAACATGCATTTTATGGGCATGAATACTTCCTGCATTGACAATTCACATGTGATCTACATCTAGATTTGTACAGACTTACATTGAAACAAGGGAAACAAGTTGTACAATGATAGTCTGCAAATATAGAGGTTCATCACATCAATGCCAGGTTGTACAATGTTAGTCTCTATATATAGATGTTGATCACATCCATGCCAGGGTGTACAATGTTAGTCTCTATATATAGAAGTAGATCACATCCATGCCAGGGTGTACAATGTTAGTCTCTATATATAGAAGTAGATCACATCCATGCCAGGGTGTACAATGTTAGTCTCTATATATAGATGTAGATCACATCCATGCCAGGGTGTACAATGTTAGTCTCTCTATATATATGTAGATCACATCCATGCCAGGGTGTACAATGTTAGTCTCTATATATAGAAGTAGATCACATCAATGCCAGGGTGTACAATGTTAGTCTCTATACATATATAGATGTAGATCACATCCATGCCAGGGTGTACAATGTTAGTCTCTATATATAGATGTAGATCACATCCATGCCAGGGTGTACAATGTTAGTCTCTATATATAGATGTAGATCACACCCATGCCAGGGTGTACAATGTTAGTCTGTACAAATCTAGATGTAGATCACATCCATGCCAGGGTGTACAATGTTAGTCTCTATATATATATGTAGATCACATCCATGCCAGGGTGTACAATGTTAGTCTCTATATATAGAAGTAGATCACATCCATGCCAGGGTGTACAATGTTAGTCTCTATACATATATAGATGTAGATCACATCCATGCCAGGGTGTACAATGTTAGTCTCTATATATAGATGTAGATCACATCCATGCCAGGGTGTACAATGTTAGTCTCTATATATAGATGTAGATCACACCCATGCCAGGGTGTACAATGTTAGTCTCTATATATAGATGTAGATAACACCCATGCCAGGGTGTACAATGTTAGTCTGTACAAATCTAGATGTAGATCACATCCATGCCAGGGTGTACAATGTTAGTCTGTACATATAAGTGCCGGTCATACGCATGACAGGTTGCACAGGGTTTAGTCATATGTATGGCAGGCAGCACAATGCCCAGGTCTGTACACCTAAGGGTTAGTCATATGTATGGCAGGTGGCACAATGCCCGGGTCTGTACCTCTTGGGGTTAATCATATGTATGGCAGGTGGCACAATGCCCGGGTCTGTACCTCTTGGGGTTAATCATATGTATGGCAGGTTGCACAAAGTCTGTATGTTTGAGAGACTAACCTAATGCCTGCTGCCAGTTTGTCCTGTTGGCACTGCTATCACAATACTGGCGTGGGTAGATGGTGTTGTACTCTCCATTTTCATAGCACTGATCATCAATAATACATCCATTTGTCTGGAATAGACAAGAAACAATGCAATGGGAAAGGCAAGAAAAAGGCAAGGAGAAATCAGGCCTTATAATCTTAAGATCACATGTTAACTAGTGGCTGACTACAACACACAATGAAAACCAGAAATCTGTTTGCATTTGTGTTCAACTTGTTTCAGACCAAATTTTTGAAAGCAACTTGCCTAGGTCCATATTCAGATCTAAATCCAAAAATTTCACATAGAATTACACTAGTTGTACCTTTGTTCAAGACAATCAACTTTACAAGTTACATTCTGTTGGATTATAGCATATTTGAAAGATTATAATAGTGCCTTACCTTATCCACACAGGTTCCATTGCTGGGGAAGCAAGTCTGACAGAGGGAATCATAGACCAGGAAGAGAAGGGACATACTCCTGTGTTGGTTGTAGCTGACGGACACCTCGTAGCTGAAGCCGGTTGTCGGTATGGGACATGTCAGCTCCATGATGTGGATGAATGTTGCTGTTGTATTGACCACCACATCATCAACCTCATACCCAGTTTCATTCAGCTTTATAGGAAACAGGGCAATTGAGACATTTTCATTAAACAGGAATTAAATATAACACATAAAACATGATACACAGGTGCACACTTTTTCACGTTGGAGAACATAGAGTACATGTCAATTCATAAGATTACACAGTACTGTTCAGTGGTAAGTACATTCCAAAATAAGGTCAACCATAGGGAAACTGATAAATCCACACACTGTGTATACGCCACAAGGAACCTGGCACATAAACACACTGTATGTAAACAAGGAATTGGTAGATTCACACACTGTGTACACCATAAGGAACCCGGCACATTCAAATGCTGTGTGTACACAACAAGGATCCTGGTAATTTCACATACTGTGTGTTCACAAGGAACCTGGTAGATTCACACACTGTGTGTACACAAGGAGCCTGGTAGATACACACACTGTGTACAGAAGGAACCTGGCAGATTCACACATTGTGCACCACAAGGAACCTGGTAGATTCACACACTGTGTGTACACAAGAAACCTGGTAGATTCACAGACTGTGTGTTCACAAGAAACCTGGTAGATTCACACACTGTGTGTTCACAAGAAACCTGGTAGATTCACAGACTGTGCACCACAAGGAACCTGGTAGATTCACACACTGTGCACCATAAGGAACCTGGTAGATTCACACATTGTGCACCATAAGGAACCTGGTAGATTCACACACTGTGCACCATAAGGAATCTGGTAGATTCACACACTGTGCACCTTAAGGAACCTGGTAGATTCACACACTGTGTGTACACAAGAAACCTGGTAGATTCACACACTGTGTGTTCACAAGAAACCTGGTAGATTCACACACTGTGCACCATAAGGAACGTGGTAGATTCACACATTGTGCACCACAAGGAACCTGGTAGATTCACACACTGTGCACCATAAGGAACCTGGTAGATTCACACACTGTGCACCATAAGGAAACTGGTAGATTCACACACTGTGCACCATAAGGATTCTGGTAGATTCACACACTGTACACCACAAGCAATCTCATTAAAATCAGATCTAAGTTCTCGCTGCCGCTAAACAAAGATCTGAGAACATCCCATTACGGGTCATGTCAGAATGACCTTTCGCGAACTTTGACCTACCACTGAAACGACTAACAAGAAGTCGATATCAGCCAATTAGAAGCAGCTTTCTCGAGCTTTACAGTACTAGTTTCAACCTGACAACTTCCATTTTGACTACACTTGAAAAATATGTTGACACAGTTCTCAATTAAAATTTTGAAAACTGAACAAACTAACATTCTGGAATGTCTAATATATGGTTGCGATTGTTTGGCAGTGCTTCCGACGTACTGTGAAATGTCTCCTCCATTCAAATGTTTATCCCACGGGAACGAGAGATAGATGATATTATTAACCGTCGTTCGGAATACCCCGTTTTAACGTTTTCGAGATTGCATGATTAGAAAACACATTCCGACTATCACTTTGATGATCTGGTATGCGACGCTTTAATTGGTTGGATGTAAGATCGTTTTGATGTGACCCGCGTCCTCAAATCTTTGTTGAGCGACAGAGAGAACTAAGATCTGATTTTAATGAGATTGCACCACAAGGAACCTTGTAAATTCAGACACTATGTGTACACCACAAGAAACTGGTAGATTCACACAGCAAACATGGAAAACTGACCGTGACCCTGGCCCAGTGGCAGGTAAGGTTGCTGACATTTAGGGTGTTGTTGTTGTAGACATGCACTGTGTCACAGTCATCAATACGCATGTCACACAATCCATTATTGCTGAGGAAGAAAAGATTGGGAGGTTCATCTGTTTCCACCACACAGTCCAGGCTGTCTCTGTTCGTCCCGCACTTGCACAATCCTGCAGACCAGAAATATTTACAATGAGTAAATACATGAAGGATGGGTCAAGACTAGTTATATTCCTGGTCCGTGTGGTCTCCTGTGATTCTGTGTATGAGGTTGCCAATAGCTTTTTCGTCCTTTAGCATGTCCTTTGTCACTTCATGGAGTGGAAATATCAGTATTGGAAGTCACAGCCAGTTTGATTCAAGCCCCTTTCTTTGCCTTCTAGCTCAAATTTGATGATGAATGCCAATCTAACGGTTAATCATTACCCTAATTACACAGACACAATCGCTATGTTCACACATAGATAACATCCAGGCCTAGACTGGAAATGGGCTCCAGGTGGTGGCATCTATTAATGACTGAAACATAAGATCTTAATACCTACCATTGTCACAGTCAGATCCTCTACACTCAGAAGGACATTGTAATCTGAGTGTATCCTCTACTGGCCAAAGTGTTGTGTTGGTAAGGAGCGCTATTTCACACTGCTTCTTGATGTCTTCTTGAGCTGCCATGAACCACTGATTGTTGAGGGTGTTCTGTAACATTTTAATGGAAGGTTATATACTTCAATATAGTCCTACAAAAATTTAGATATGCCATGTTCTTTTACAAACTACTCACAGTTCAAATCATCTCATGTTAAGGAAGAGAAGTAATAAACTAGCACCAGTGAAACACTGCATGACAAACAAGATTTACATACCTTAATATCTTCAGCACAAGATGTGAGAGAGTTGGCGTAGTGGACTCCAGGAACATTCTTGCAGGCTGTCACAAAAGCTGATAACCCTATTGATGCTTCACACTGTATTTTCTCCACAAGGGTCTGAGTCCAGCCTATATCTCCAGGTACATCCCAGCCATTCTCCTGCAACAATGTATACTCACATCATTCAAGTGCTAAACAAGTCGCTTAGCCACAGATACACCATCCCCTCATTCAGGGTTTATTATCTGCCTAACTTCTATGTTTCACTAGTAGTTGAATGTGATTGTAGGATTTACATCTTTACAAATTATATTTCTAAAACATAGTATATACCAATCCCTTCCTTAATCACATGGATGCCACAGGGACATGTTCTCGTTGTTCGACCTTCATTTTGAAGTCAAATAAAACTGAATCTACACACACACACTTCACAGTTTTGAATTCTGCTGAAAATTCTCTGTTCGGTGACATAACCCACAAAAAGAAATTACTAAAAAGAGCCTCTGAAAATTAGGCTCATCGTAAATATCGTAATTTTTTACATTTTAATAAATCATCACATACACAGCATTATTTTGTTTATGTCTTGAAATCATATATTTACTTGGAGAATTCAGTAGCAAAAATAACACATTAATAGTGATCAAATGTATCTGTAATGTATCAAATCACCCATGATCATTTTGAAGCGCTGCCAATAACCCCAGAATCGTTTAGCATGTTTTAGAAAATACACAAACACAAATTTCAAAGAGAACTTGAGATCATATTGGTTAGTGTTTAGCGTATGCTGGTTTTGAAACGTCTGTTACATCACACATATTTCACACTCAGCTGTGATACACGTTCTTGAATTCCCCAGACTTTTTGCATCAAATGACAAATTGTCTTTGTCACTCATACAAATGGTCTAGATGAAATCAAGCTCACAAAATCATGCTTCAGAATTAATGGCGTGCTCAAAAACTTAAGTTGAAATGTAAACAAAGCAAAATTTATATTGACACTGCTGAGCATTTTGTCCTATTTTGTGAGATCTCTTCACCTTCTGCTCATACAATGGCTAACTTCATATAGAATATGCATGCATTATCCAAGGAAGAATTAGGGAATAAAAATAGATACATTGCAATGGTTTCGTAAATCATACTGTCATTGTCAAAGTTTTCCACTCTGCATAATGTACCATGCACAATGACAATGGTATTTGTCTGCATTTCTGACTAATTCTCTTTGTTACAGTAGAAGAAATAAAACACTCATGACACATTAATGTGAATATGATCCTTGTGTTAATGAAAGTCCTCCTCTGCAAATACTGTTGTCAGTGAACACATCATTTTGTGTATGTCATCGGTAGTGATGTTCTATGTAACAGTGTTGTACATATTTGGTTTTTCTTTGCAGTTAAGGTTGGGTGTAGAAAAGTACAAACAATCATTCTTTGCTGCTTTTTACAGTTTCAATTATGAGGTAGATTTTGCATATCTTTCATAAATCTTTTCAAGCAATGAGTTACATTATGGATATTTTTTAATGTTCAATATCATTTCATACATAGATTTAGGCCACAAAATTCATTAACCTTTGACAATCTCCTATTTGTTTGAACATTATTTAGATTCAAAATCAACAAATTTAGTGTTGTATTCTGATCTTTAGACAAATCCTTGAAGATATTCAAATTTCCTTTTGAATGTAATATTCAATATTGTTATTTCATATAAATAAGTTAAGGAACAGCCATTTCATTTTATCTCATAACTAAAATTGATATACATGTATAAAGATATTCCATTAACAATATTCATAATATCTTAATTAAATATATAGATTCTATTCACACATTTGTACAAGGAGTATAAAAAAAATGTTTTTTCGGTCATTTGATTGGCAGAACATTTCTGTCTAACAACTGACCAGATACGAGTTTAGTCACAAACGCTTTACGAATTACACCTCTCATTTTGAATAATATAATTAATTATTTCACCCTTTTTTACTTATTGTAATCACAGGATATTACACAGTTTACTTCATTTCATTTTTATACATTCAAGACATTCTTTACATGGTTAAAACAGTCATTTTATGTTGTGTCTGAAAAGTGACATTGTGAAATTCTATTTTACAAATCAAGATCTTTTATACTATAAAAAAAATTAGGTGAGAAATATGATAATCAATATAACAATGGCATCTTTCTGCAATGTCAGCAAAGAAATAAAAAAGTCCATGACACGAGGCTAGTACTCCACAGATAATTGTGCAGCATTAGTCAAATTACACTTACACAACCACACAATCCGGCACAGTGTTGACTTGCCATAACACTACTTCCACAGGCTAATTTGCATATCACATGACCAGAATTTTCTCTTGTTTGTTAACAAATGCAATTATTCTGAAATCAGAGCAGACTGGCCTAATGCAAGCCTTTTGGATAGTTTTACATAGTGTTTCAAATAATTATATAGATATGCTACTACAACTGCGACAGTGAGGTGCATGACAATATATCTTTATATATCAAAGTGGCCGCATCACTAGCTCTGCGTAGGGCTTCGATGACAGCACATGGAGCCGTAAATCAATGTAAATAACGGATAACTACGCAAATGGAAATAGTTTTTCACGCTTTAGAGTATTTCTCAATGAAATTTAATATTCTATGATATATGTTTATCTAAATGTGTAGACTCATAAAACAAGAGTCATCTGAAGATGACAAATCCCCCTGCCCCAACAAGTACAAAACAGCAAATCACCTGAAGTCCAACTTTTTGAGATAATTTCTAATCTGTCTGTCCATATACAAGAGTAGTTTTTGAGCTATAAAGACAATACTATGGAATTGGGATTCAGAACTTTGTATTTCTATGTCAGTCAAAAATCAAACTTGTTGCCATGGATATATATCTAGATATATATATAAATTCTAAAAATCCCTAAATAGCAAAAGGCACCAGTTGATAACCTGGTCCTTGTGTGTGCACAGTTTCAAGAAAGAACACCTATTAGTTTTAGATATATGGTCCAGACAAACACACCACTATGAATAGAGTCAAAGTCAAACTTGTTGCCATGGAAACAGAAAAAAATTAATTTTTGTTAAAATTCCTAAATAGCAAAATGCACAACTTCAGCCCTTGGTTAATACATGTACCAAGATTGGATGAAAATTCTCTCACAGTTTTCAAGTTGTGCTACAGAAAGGACACCTACCCCCACCCTTTTGAGACTAAGTCCAAATTGTTTCAATAGAAATCAAGAATCAAAAATAAAAAAATAAAAAAATAAAAAATAGCAAAAGGCACCACTTCAGCATGTGACTGATACATCTTTCAAGTTTCGATCAAATATACTGAATGGTTTTCGAATTCTGCCCCGGAAACAAACCCAATCCCCAATGGAGTCTGTGTCCAACTTCTTTCCATAAAAATTTTAAAAAATATAAATTCGAAAAATCCCAAAATATCAAAAGGCACCACTTCAGTATGTGACTGATGGATTTGCCAAGTTTTGATCAAATACACTGAATGGTTTTCGAGTTCTGCCCCGAAAAAGGAAATGATTACGGACGGACAGACGGACGGACTGGCTGATTGCTATATCACCCCGCATTATATGCCGGGGGATAAAATTAAACAGATTAAAAACATATGCAATATCTTGAATGGACCATGTAAGATGTTACAAATCGTCAGTTCGTGACATGGTGCTGGCCTGTGGCAGAGGTATTATGCTGGCCACATGGAACTCTGGGTCAGGGAGAGTGACAAAACCAGGTAAATGTGGGAATCTAAGGACCAATTTTGCACTTTAGATAGGGTCATCCATTTCACTACAACTGCCTTTTTCATGTAGTTCAATTTTTATCATTTTATAGAATTTGTGATAATAACTAATAACGTATACAGTTTCAATTTCTATATTTGTATTGGAATAGTTTGGTTCCTGATGGACCATACTTTATTAAGATATATTGTTGTTATCCACAGCAAATCCTCACCAAGTGAGCGGAGCTTCAGTGGACCAGCTCTATACATAGCAAAGTTATGCCCCTTTTTCGTGTCTGTACCTCTCTGTTGTCTTTTGTCAATTTTCTTCATTTATAGCAAACTATTCTTCGTTTCAAATGTATGATGTTATACATAAGCATACAAATCCATTCAATAGATCATCATGTCGTTAAAATATTTGGCAGTATTTTGTTTGCTGAAAAAACTTTAAATGAAATGTTTGTTGCACAGTACTTTTCTTATTAGTGTACGATGAAAAGTGGCAAAATTTGCTGTATTTTTTTTCACATTCCTCTGTAATTCATGGGTCGAGGTACACTCAGTGCCGCACAAGTGCAATTCCCACAGAAAGTTCACTTTTCAGACCTTATGAAAATGTGTGTCAGAAAAATAACTCCGCATCCACAGAGTTATATAGATTATCACGCTTGTGTGTTTTGGGATGGTAAATATCCTGTATTAAGAATAACAGTTGTCTTTAGCGAGCACTGGGGAAGATATTTTTCATCCCAAAACACACAAGGGTGATAACCTCTTCATCATATAATGTCAGCCTTAAATTTTGTCTTTTGAAAAACTTGTTCTTATCTCTCACAAACATTGCTAAACAACGCAAATGTTCCTGGAATTTGCACATTAATATAGATTACGTCAGAAGGTAAGTAATGTGTCAGTCAGACAGTGACAAGAGTCAATATAGTTCCAACTGAAACTTGTTTCCTAGACAGTGGCGAAACTACATATAGGCAAACTAACAATTGCCTACACGTATTGTTTCAACTTGCCTTTGGCAACAATCCATTGCTCTGCTCTCTAGAGTAACTGCCCTTTATCAAAGGGAAGCTCTAATCCTAACCACAGTCTATGTGATGTCACACCTGTTTAATGTCTGCCTGGCCTGTCATAACATTACAAAGTGCAGTCAGATGTACACACAGCAACAAAATGAAACATGGTAACGTATTTCAACCAAATACAACTGTTTTAATTTTGGGAAAAGGTCTCAAGCCACAGAGGTCTATAAGCACAGAAATAGAAAATCATCTCGCTAGGCTAGTGTCCTCACTAAATTGTTTCACCGTTAATATCTCCAAAGTTGCCCAAACTTGTAAAATGCTTCAGCTTCGTCCCCGTTAGACACTGATTTTGGTTTCTTAGACTTTTGTTTTGATAACGATAAATCAGCCCAGTAGTGACTCCAGATTCTTATGGTTAATCCTGAATCAATCGTCGATTGACAAGGGCGGCGCCATGTTTGTTTATAAACTCTGAAAGTAGTACCTACCTGACCTTTCACATTTGATTCTCTATCCGTATATGATCCCAACAGATTTTTATCTGTTGGCTTTATCCTACCAAGAAACCAACCCATTATATGACCAAATCACTTATCTTCATCACTATTGACAGTGATTCATAAACACTTGCTTCTGATATAGTCAGAACTGTACAAATGACAGCGATACTCATAATTGTGGAAAGTGTTTTGTTGCTTTTATTATTGTTCCAATATTTATAGTGTATACAACAAAAGTGAATTTCAAACAAGGATTTCTGCCATAATCATCCAATATTTTGTTTTTTTTATGGTTTATGTATGTCTTAAACAGAGGAGCATTTTGTGTTGAATATTGTTTTGGTCAGTAGGTTTAGTTGGAAAAATAAATGATTAATCAATTAAAGCCCAGGATATTTACTATTTGTACATTAACTTGCACATGTAATAACTTCTGTCAGATAAAGCTTTGTTCTTTTGACGTGTTTGCACCTGCAGAGCAAATAAATTCATTCATGATTAGTGTTTAAAATGCTTTTTAATGGAACCAATTATTTATTACCTTGATATCATCTGCACCCCTAGTGTACTGGAACTCTTCATACACAAAGGATGACCTGGTCTGCAGACACTTGGTGGGGTACACAGAATCACGCACAAGCTGATCTGTTATATCTTGGCCTGGAAAATACTTTCAATCTTGGGACAACATATTTCATGCTGCAAATTTCCTCTACAGTCTATACATAGTAGTTACACAATTACTTCAAGAAACACCAAGGCAAATGTTAAAATGTTTAATCAATATCATCTACACATCATCATGTTCTTTTTAATCTTGAGAAAAAAGCTTAGTGTTTAATACTTTCAATGAACATGAACTCTGTTACAGGTCCACATAGCCTACCAAAGTATATGCTGTGTGAGACCTTTCTGGAAAATGCTAAAACAGTTCACTCAAATGAAGAATATGATCCCTTTGCATGTCATAGACATGTTGGTTTCATATTAATGGTATAAATGGTATACATGGTACCATGTATACTCAGCAAAACATTCTTTAAGATTTTTCACACTTCAAAAGTTAACGGATAGACAGACAACTGACACTCCTGACCAAGTGAGATAAAACATTTTAAACTCTGATCAGCTTGGTTCTTACCTGTTACATCACTGGGGCATGGAGTCAGGTCATTTCCCTTCTCACAGCTCTGGGCCATATCCTCTCGACAGTAGCAGTATGTTGGGAGCTCAGTCACCTCAATATTACTCTCCGATTCAGGACAGAAGCCTGTGTACAGACTATCCTTGTTGTCAACCCTGAAACAAAAAGACATCTCTTGTCCTTCACATCTGTGACACTGGTGATTCCATCTTTAATTGTTACAAGGGATGGCTGAAAAAATCCAAACCCCTCAGAGGGGATTATGTTTAAAAATAATTAGTAATTAACTCCATCAAGGCAGTCCATAGTTAGTATGATGGAGTTGATTGCTAATTATTTTTAAACATAATCCCCTCTGAGGTCCACATACTTCTGCCAGTGATGCTCAAGTGATCCAACTGGTGTGGAAGGTATCCTCCTGGTGGTGTAAAAAGGCCTCAACAACCAAAATGATAGCTTCATTAGATAATGCTTGCCAGACAGTTTTTTCTTTAAGTCTGGGGAAAGTTGGAAATCTGATGTGGAGCTAAATCTGGTGAATATGGCAGATTATAAATGAGTTCAAGCAACAGTCATGCACTGCAGCCATGGGGACAAGAGGGAAGGACAAGGAGACTTTAGATGTATCCACTGTCGTTTAGTTTCTGGCTGACAGTGGTCAACACGAGACTCATCCATGGTTACAAATTGCTTACAGCATTTCTGATCAGAAATCAGAGTGAGTGAGTGAGTTTGGTTAAATGCCGCTTTTAACAGTATTCGAGTTATATCACGGCATGTCAGCTTAATGTGGGAGGAAAGCTCGAAGTGATGCAGGTCTTAGACGTTTACCACTTCGGTAAAACCCACGAGCACGGGTATGAGCTGACAAACATAGAAACATAATAGGGGCGAACCGGGATTTGAACCCACAATCATAGGTTTCTCGCGTACCAAGGGACGCAACTCTGCACAGCGAATCGCGGCGCCTTAGACGACTGGGCCACCTGTGCCCCTCAGAAATCAGAAGCCTTGGAACCCAATGTGCTGAAACCTTTGTCATGGCCAGAATGTTCTCAACTTTCACATGAGGCATGCCTACTGTATTGGCTATGTGACATGTTTGTTTGTTGCTGAACGCCTCACTCCGCAATATTCCAACTATATGATGGCACTCTATAAATAATGCAGTGATCAAGAGACATCATGAGCATTGATCCGTGCAATTGGGATACCATAACATTCATCAACTAAGCCATCATGCCTGACCACCTGGTCCCGTTAGTAGCCTCTTATGGCAAGCATGGCTTGATGAAGACCAATTCTAACATGGATCTTCATGGGTTGTATGTGCCGTGTGGTGAGTTGAGAATCCTTCATAATCATATGTATTTATCAACATTTTCTTGAGGATTGCAAGGTGTGTTGGCGGGTCTTTTGTGAGCTGTCACTGTGAGAGTGATGGACTGTGAGCACAGAATTTTTAATGAGATCGGATATCCAAGAGTGGACCTGAGATAATAGTTTATATCTACGCAAGAAGAGTACAACGTATATACAGTAAACTGTTGTCTTTTGTTGATAACCTAAGCTACTTTTGTACTGAATTTTAATACAAAAACGTGTGCTCAAATAATAGCAGGTGTTAGGCTGAGTACTCACAAGAAAGAAGTGATGTGCACATCTACTGAGGCATTTGGCATGACATGTGATATTCCTAACAACTGATTTGGATGGGTAGACAGTGAAGAGGACATCTGTTGAAAATCTAAAGATTTTTTAGTGTTCACCAAATTGTATAATAGAGATAGGTTATTCAAATGAATAATATGCTGCCTGATTGTGTATTTGGTTCAAATGCAGCCTCTAAGCATGGAAAGTATTGTACTTTATACATGGACACAGATAAGGGTGTACCCTACAGCCTTAGTAGGTTCAGAAGTTTTCAGCCATACCTCTTAAGTTGGATATCCAGAAATGTCAAGTTACCTCAGCCACATTAGATCATTTTTACATATGATATGGCTGAAGCTATCATTATTTATTAACTTGTTACTCATCAAGAGACTTATCTAACACAAGGTTTAATCTAGTCATCTGACCAACTTCATTTGACTGGTTGATAATGAGGAAGTGTCAATCAACTGATTACACATTTGCTTCATCAATATTTGATAAGATTTTACATTTGAAAAACAATGTCAACCTTTAAATTTGCTCATATGACCTTTCACCTACACATAAAAAACACATCCAGAAGCAAATAATTAACAAGACAGTTAATTGAGGCAGTTGGAAACCAATGGCCTTAAACAGATACACATACAAGAGTAAGTTAATACCAACCTCCACGTGATAGAGAAGTTGTCAGGTTTGATGTTCAGCGTTGACATGGTTCCATCTGGACTACGAAGGTCATCTGACTGATCATTGTTGTAATTTCCACACAAACCTACAAATACGTTTTACATTTTAGCAGCAATTTTCTTTATTCATTTGGTGTGATAGCTGCTCAAAACAGTTCTGTACATTTATTACTGTGCTGTATCTAAAAAATGCAATTTGATGAACCATTCAAAGGTCATCAAACTGGTTGGAAGCAACATGCTTGTTATGTTTTGCTCTCATAAGCTGACCTTGTAAACAATGATATACCGGAAGTAGTTGCATGATACTCATTCCTGAAAGTATTAAATTCAAAATCATATCTTCTCATATGCAATAAAAATTAAATATAGTTATCTAAGTTGTTTATTTATTTATTCTGATATTGTCCCTATATGCACTCATATGCTATTATAGTGTGGTAAAATTTAGCCACCTGTAGCTGTGTCGCCAAGTATTCTCATACCATGGTTCTGCTGCTACAGCTGTGTGTTATTCCCCTCATTGTATTCAGTACCTGTTTGTACATCAGGTTGTCTTATCTTTATACTTTTTCACTACAATAATGGAATACAGAGCTTTACGTCAGGTTGAAGAAAACTATGCCTTCCCATCATATTCTATCTTATCAGATAAACTTGCTACTTTTCCCGTAAATCCGTAGCTCATGGAGACTTGAAATATACAAGGTGTGTATTAGGGTTGCGACGGGTACTCGAGTACCCGATAACGGGTCGGGTAGCCTAGGACTCGAGTCCAATTTTCAGGACTCGAGTACCCTTTCAGGGGAGGTAACTCGTAAGTCACTTCAAAATGGACGACAAAGCGGACAAACGTTCAAATGTTTGGGCGTATTTTGACCTTGATGACACAAAGAAAAAGACCAAAAGTCGTCTCTGTGGCATATGTATCAGCTACGCAGGTAGTTTGACGAGTTCCATGAAAAAGCATCTAAATTTTAAACACAAGAGCATTTACTTTGATATTCTGCGTCACTTGTGGTTTTAGGTAAGCCATGCAGGCATTTAATAAAAAACATAATACCTCAGAATAGATCAATAGATGTTTGATGACCTTTTTTTCGCAAAAGCATTACCAACAAGTGGGACAACATTGAACTACGGGTACTTGAGTCTGGTTCGGGTATTGTCTGCCGGGTACTCGAGTTCAGTCTCGTACCCGGTCGCAACCCTAGTGTGTATAGTTCTTCACACTGTATAACTGTTGGTGGTACCTGTTGTTTTGTCGACATCAGCTGCTGAAGGTCTCAGCCATACATTGAGGAAGTTGTAACCAGGGATGATGCTGATGCCAACTCGTACTTCCATGCCTGTTGGATACTGTATCTGTCATGTGGAAAAACATGATTTCATAGCCGGAGAAATTAGAACTTGTAGTTGTGCATATGAATATTCATCAAGAATGTACATTTGGCATAGTGTGTTATATATATATGTACATTAGTTGGACATAATATTCTCCATTCATCATTCAGGTGCAGGTGCTGAGACTTACTATATACATTCTGCCTTCATCCCTGCTGATGACTTGGAAGCCAGGCGTCATGGCACCATTCCTGAACACCTTCACTGTGACGGGGTAGGAGCTCTCAGTGGGAATGGCACCACCATAGTCAATCACAACCACATCATCCCCTGCTTTTGCAGCTACAGCTACTGTACAGGACATTCGGCCATGGCAGTCTCTCAGGAACACTTGGACCTGATGGCAGGAAAAAATATCTACCAGTGATCCTTCAAGGAGTGATTGAGTTATTAAGTTTTAGTTTCAGCTTATTGTGGGAGAAATTAGTAGTATTCACTACTTTGTGTCAGTTATCAGCAGATCATGACACAGTTAAGAGACATCTAATTTTAATGCACCCATTTCCCAAACCAACTTCAACTGGTAAGGGCATCTGTCATGTAGAAGAAAACTGGGTGACATACAAGATTTTGGTGTATTGACTTTGACAGAGGAAGGTATGACATCCGGAGTTAACATAACATGCACTGTAATAATCATTATAGGACCTTTGACCCCCAAATCATAACTTATTTCGTTGTCAGTTCAACTTGCATTATGTTTCCATATGATCTATCTACATATTGCATTTGATTCCAGACAATACAGATTTGTTCTTGACAATATATGCATATGATACTTGACAAAATCAGTTCTGATGAACAGGGTTTAGATTACTGGCATATTTTGTGATTTCCATTTTATTCACATCCCACATCTTTGCAAAGAGATCTCGAGGAGATATTGATGCCTTATTTTGAAATTTGTTTTTCAATATGAAACCTGGGACTGAATGTATTTATTACTTGCCACAATTTGTGACTGCTGTGTCTAAGACAATCTTTCACATGCATGTTTTGGATATTGACTAAAGAAATAATATAATCATTCTATTAACATGTGAATTTACTGGGACAATTTATGTCAATTTGAAATATGGGGATTTTGATCACGCCAAATATGGCTTTGAGGAAGAAAATCAACATACTAATGCCAATATTTTAGACAATTTGATAAAGAGTGTGTGTAATTGCAGTTTTGAAGTGGATCATGTGTTACATTTACACTGATAGGTCCTTGGTCTCTATGTTTGGACATTGTTTCAGTTATTAACATGTCCAGTACAAAAATATCAGGTGGCAAAATGTACTTGGGAAAACATTAAATATTTGACCATGAAGACAAAATATTTCTTTATGACATTATGCTGAAGTTATGAGGACGCATTAGAATACATGTGAGCTGTATTTGAGAAACAATCCCAATATTTCAGTGATGGCTGAGACTGTGTACTTACAGTGTAGGGCAGGTCTGTGTGCTGGTACAGAACAAATGGGCCGTGGAAATACATGTGGTAGTAGCTGAAACAGTCATGCAGAATGATACAAGGGGAAATGAACTAAACCAGAAGGTAAACATATTCCAAATTATTTGTGTTGTCAACTCTAAATATCTCTTTCAAGAACACCTGAGCATACTTACAAGCCATCCAGTGTCGTAATGTGTGGATCGTTGACAACCATACACAGGGCACCATTGTCTGCATCCAGGATAGAGAGCTGAATCAAGGAGAAATATTTTGTCACTAAAGTCATAAATTAAGTAACAGAAGGATATAGATTCATACTGATCGTTACCAAAGATAGAGAATCACCTGGCAGCAGGAGAAACATTAACTGACAGTCACAGTGAGATCAGTAACAGACAGACAGACACTGATTCAAACAGACACAGTAACATATACACACATACAGAGATAATAACAGACAGACACAGTAACAGACACTAACAGACACAAACATACAGTCACAGACAGACAGAGAGACAGAGATAGTAACAGAAAGATACATACAGAGATAGTAACAGACGCATATAGAGACAGTAACCTACACTAACAGGCAGACACTAACAGACAGTCACAAACATACAGTCATAGACACATACTGAAACACTAACAGGCAGACATTAACAGACAGTCACAAACAGACAGTCACAAACATACAGTCATAGACACATAATGAAACACTAACAGACAGTCACTGACACATACAGACACAGTAACAGACATACACATACAGGCACAAACACATAGTGAAACACTAATAGACAGTCACAGACACAAACATGCAGTAACAGACAGACACAGTAACAGACAGTCACAGACACAAACATGCAGTAACAGACAGACACAGACAGAGTAATAGACAGTCACAGACACAAACATGCAGTAACAGACAGACACAGTAACAGACAGTCACAGACACAAACATGCAGTAACAGACAAACACAGTAACAGACAGTCACAGACACAAACATGCAGTCACAGACAGAGTAATAGACAGTCACAGACACAAACATGCAGTCACAGACAGACACAGACACAGTAATAGACAGTCACAGACACAAACATGCAGTAACAGACAGACATAGACACAGTAATAGACAGTCACAGACACAAACATGCAGTAACAGACAGACACAGTAATAGACAGTCACAGACACAAACATGCAGTCACAGACAGTCACAGTAACAGACAGTCACAGACACAAACATGCAGTAACAGACAGAGTAACAGACAGTCACAGACACAAACATGCAGTAACAGACAGACACAGTAACAGACAGTCACAGACACAAACATGCAGTAACAGACAGACACAGACAGAGTAATAGACAGTCACAGACACAAACATGCAGTAACAGACAGACACAGACACAGTAATAGACAGTCACAGACACAAACATGCAGTAACAGACAGACACAGACACAGTAATAGACAGTCACAGACACAAACATGCAGTAACAGACAGACACAGACACAGTAATAGACAGTCACAGACACAAACATGCAGTAACAGACAGACAGACACAGTAATAGACAGTCACAGACACAAACATGCAGTAACAGACAGACACAGTAATAGACAGTCACATACACAAACATGCAGTAACAGACAGACACAGACACAGTACTAGACAGTCACAGACACAAACATGCAGTCACAGACAGACAGACACAGTAATAGACAGTCACAAACAGAAACATGCAGTCACAGACAGACACAGACACAGTAATAGACAGTCACCGACACAAACATGCAGTAACAGACAGACACAGTAACAGACAGTCACAGACACAAACATGCAGTAACAGACAGACAGACACAGTTACAGACAGTCACAGACACAAACATGCAGTAACAGACAGACACAGACACAGTAATAGACAGTCACAGACACAAACATGCAGTAACAGACAGACACAGACACAGTACTAGACAGTCACAGACACAAACATGCAGTCACAGACAGACACAGACACAGTAATAGACAGTCACAGACAGACACAGACACAGTAATAGACAGTCACAGACACAAACATGCAGTAACAGACAGACACAGTAACAGACAGTCACAGACACAAACATGCAGTAACAGACAGACACAGTAACAGACAGTCACAGACGCAAACATGCAGTAACAGACAGACACAGACACATTAATAGACAGTAACAGACACAAACATGCAGTAACAGACAGACACAGACACAGTAACAGACAGTCACAGACACAAACATGCAGTCACAGACAGACAGAGTAATAGAAAGTCACAGACACAAACATGCAGTAACAGACAGACACAGACACAGTAATAGACAGTCACAGACACAAACATGCAGTAACAGACAGACACAGTAATAGACAGTCACAGACACAAACATGCAGTAACAGACAGACACAGTAATAGACAGTCACAGACACAAACATGCAGTCACAGACAGTCACAGTAACAGACAGTCACAGACACAAACATGCAGTAACAGACAGAGTAACAGACAGTCACAGACACAAACATGCAGTAACAGACAGACACAGTAACAGACAGTCACAGACACAAACATGCAGTAACAGACAGACACAGACAGAGTAATAGACAGTCACAGACACAAACATGCAGTAACAGACAGACACAGACAGAGTAATAGACAGTCACAGACACAAACATGCAGTAACAGACAGACACAGACACAGTAATAGACAGTCACAGACACAAACATGCAGTCACAGACAGACACAGACACAGTAATAGACAGTCACAGACACAAACATGCAGTAACAGACAGACAGACACAGTAATAGACAGTCACAGACAAACATGCAGTAACAGACAGACACAGTAATAGACAGTCACAGACACAAACATGCAGTAACAGACAGACACAGACACAGTACTAGACAGTCACAGACACAAACATGCAGTAACAGACAAACACAGTAACATACAGTCACAGAGACAAACATGCAGTAACAGACAGTCACAAACATAAACATGCAGTAACAGACAGTCACAGAGACAAACATGCAGTAACAGACAGTCACAAACATAAACATGCAGTAACAGACAAACACAGTAACAGGCAGTCACAGAGACATACATGCAGTAACAGACAGACGCAGACGCAGACGCAGTAACAGACAGACGCAGAGACAAACATGCAGTAACAGACAGTCACAAACATAAACATGCAGTAACAGACAGACACAGTAATAGACAGTCACAGAGACATACATGCAGTAACAGACAGACGCAGACGCAGTAACAGACAGACGCAGAGACAAACATGCAGTAACAGACAGTCACAAACATAAACATGCAGTAACAGACAAACACAGTAATAGACAGTCACAGAGACATACATGCAGTTACAGACAGACGCAGACGCAGTAACAGACAGACACAGAGACAAACATGCAGTAACAGACAGTCACAAACATAAACATGCAGTAACAGACAAACACAGTAACAGGCAGTCACAGAGACATACATGCAGTAACAGACAGTCACAAACATAAACATGCAGTATCAGACAAACACAGTAACAGGCAGTCACAGAGACATACATGCAGTAACAGACAGTCACAAACATTAACATGCAGTAACAGACAAACACAGTAACAGGCAGTCACAGAGACATACATGCAGTAACAGACAGTCACATACATAAACATGCAGTATCAGACAAACACAGTAACAGGCAGTCACAGAGACATACATGCAGTTACAGACAGACGCAGACGCAGTAACAGACAGACGCAGAGACAAACATGCAGTAACAGACAGTCACAAACATAAACATGCAGTATCAGACAAACACAGTAACAGGCAGTCACAGAGACATACATGCAGTAACAGACAGTCACAAACATAAACATGCAGTAACAGACAAACACAGTAACAGGCAGTCACAGAGACATACATGCAGTAACAGACAATCACAAACATAAACATGCTGTAACAGACAAACACAGTAACAGGCAGTCACAGAGACATACATGCAGTAACAGACAGTCACAAACATAAACATGCAGTAACAGACAAACACAGTAACAGGCAGTCACAGAGACATACATGCAGTAACAGACAGTCACAAACATAAACATGCAGTAACAGACAAACACAGTAACAGGCAGTCACAGAGACATACATGCAGTAACAGACAGACGCAGACGCAGTAACAGACAGACAGAGCGACTGACCTGGGACTGGAGCAGCTGGGATGTTTGCTCCACCACAGAGCTAACCAGGTAGGAAGACATTACTGTCAGAGTTCTGTTGTGGTCATTGTCATATTTGCTGTCAATTGTTGCCCGCACATTCAGTGAGTATTCTTTCTGCCAGTTATCTCCCCTGATCATAAGCCCACAAAGCGCTTGCTCCTCCTGATCGGAGAAGAGTCGGAATGCCATCTGGGGTATGAATTCACCAGTCAGACACTGGACTTCTGTATCATTATCAACTGATATGTCATAGCTGATGTGAATTTCACACTTATCAGTGTCATTAAAGGACATACCACGACACAGTACATATGGTGGAGCAGTAGCCTTTATTTGAATGGTCTCCCCTGGCTTTCCTTCAATCAAGGTCATTTCCTCAAGAGCATTTTCCATCTGAAAGATAAAATAAATTCATGCAAAACCACCATGTTAATCTTCAACTTTTGTTTTCATTTATCAATCAACAAATGAAAAGTAAATTAACCTTGCTTGCATCTGATATCACAAAATAGTCTTCTCATTACAACAACCTTCCAAACCCAAATGGCAATTTATAAGTATATTAGTTTTGTACAACTGAGAACCTCTGATTATGACAATCAGTTCATCCTACACACAACAGAGCTCTCCACAACCTCCTTTAACAAATACAAGGGCTGGTCAAAGAGTTCTAAGCCTAACAAAAAAAAAAAACAATTGTGAAAGTGTTTTTAATTTTATTTTTCAACATAATCTCCCTGCTTTTCAATACACTTCTCATATCGATAGTGTGGATGGGTATTGGAGGTTTAAAGTGCATCACAATATTTTGCAATACAAGGCTGTATTGCATTACGTATCACGATATATTGTATACTCAACAACAAAAGTTCTTTAGACACCAATATTTTAGTGTATTTTTCAAACAAGTAAAGTTTGCTTTTGAATATTGTAGTACATGTATGGAATCAAGTCACAAAAACGCAACTGCTACAGAAAAGCATACATTCCATGCAAAAGACCCATGCATTTCACTACCCAAGAATGGGTATAAAAACATGTGCGTTAATGGGATTCAATATGCATTGTTTAGCATCGTGCTGACAACAACCACTCAGAAAAACAACAAAATTCCGCAATTATTCAACATTACGAAATGCCACGCCTGTCCGAAAATGAGCGTCTGCAAGCCATTGGTATGCTTGAAGCAGGATCGAGTCAATGTGATGTTGCAAGACAATTTAACGTCCACAGAAACGCCATTTGGTGTTTATGGCAATGTTGGCAACAGACGAATGCAGTCAGAGACCATCCTCAGAGTGGCAGGCCACGCGTAACCAATAATCTACAAGACAACTTGATTCAAACAACACACCTACAAAATCGATTCCAGCCAGCAACGTAGACCTTTCTTAAAAGACTTCTCTATACATGAAATATCATTACTTTTCTCTACATATCTATCAATGCTTGTCTAGTGCCACACAAGCTCTTATCCAAGCCTGAAGTAGGTAGTGTGTCAAAGACATAATGGTAGGGAGCTGAAGTCACAATCATCATAAGTCACAGCTGACTCCCTGATGACAATTGCTCTGGGTATGAAAGAACATTGAAACGTTGAAAAATAAGGTTGTAAGAGAGGCAGTACATCATCAACCACAAGAAACAATGCTCGGTTCACCTCACATTGTTTTTATGCAAATACCTTTACATACCAACGATCATCCTCTATATCTCCAAGGTTAACATTATGGATAACCTACACAAACCCCTGGACCCATGCCGAGATATAGAGGACCACCAATGATATAATTGACTCTTACTGCAGAGACTCTTCTTTAAAGTTACATGAACCCAAATTCAATCCTGTGCACATAAAATATTTTACAGACTTTACAAAGATGCACCTATATTTAGAGTTAGTTTCTTTTCAAAGTCACGACCGACATTCAATCCCTCAGCAGTAATTGCAGAACAATTTAGAATACAATATATACTGAGTCAAATTAAAAACTTCACATTTTTAAAAGTAATCCCATATATGATATACAACGGAAAAATGTATCAGAGAAGGTAATTTTTAATCATTAATGTCCAAAGAAGGTTTTTAATTAACAATGGTAACCATAATTTGTTCCAAGCACCTATGGTATTCGGTAAGAACATCAACAGTTTAAATCATAAGTCCCAAGCACGAGAATCTGATGGCATACAAGTGCAGTAGCGTGTATGGCCACCATGTGCATTGACAACTGCCACACAACGCCTCCGCATGGACCTTGTGATGCTTGTGACCACATGATTGGGAAGACGACGCCATTGTTGCTGCAAAATGGTGCCAAGATCTTGCAAATTCTGTAGTTGGTTCTGGAGAGTGCGCAGACTTCTGCCAAAAGCATCCCAGACGTGTTTGATGAGATTGAGGTCGGGAGACCTTGACGGCCAGTCCATGACGTTGACTCCCACATTCTGAAGGAAATTCCTTGTCAAAATTGCTGTGTTGGATCTGGCATTGTTGTGTTGGAAGATCAAACCGGGTCCATGTGCTGCCATAAAAGGCAGAAGTTCTGGTGCCAGTATCTGGTCGCGGAAAGCAGCAGCGTTGAGGTTGCCATGGATGACAAGAAGCCTGGAACGTGCATTGCCACAGAAAGCACCCCACACCATGACACTTCCACCTCGAAATCTGTCAACTTTCTGTACACAACACTGGGCGTAACGTTCATGATGGCGCCTCCACACCCTTGCCCTACTATCAGCAAATCGAAGATTAAATCGGGATTCATCACAGAAGACGACTTGATTCCAATTCCTCTGAGTCCATCGTAAGTGTCGCTGTGCCCACAATTGACGTTGACGTCTGTGTAATTGAGTCAGAATCGGCCCGCAGTATGGCTGTCATGCTTGAAGGTGAGCAATTCTCAGACGGTTTCGAACAGTTTGCGCACTCAGTCTACCCCTAAAAAGTTCATTTCTGGTTGATGTAGCCGTCAAAAATCGGTTACGGAGGTGATGTAAGACAATCTGACGATCCTCTGCATGTGACGTCACACGTGGTCGACCTGTCCGAGGGCGATCAGCGGTGGTACCCGTTTGCTGTAGACGCGTCTGTAAATCATAAACAGTCCGTCGACTACAACCCCCTTGCGACTTCAGCTACGGACGTTCCCGTCTACAACATGCCGATGGCACGTTCACATTGCACATTTGAAAGGCGTGGCATGACAAATGACCGTAAAGACTTTTGTTTTCTTGTGTTTTTCTTTTTTTGTTAATGACTGCTAACAAGTATGGCTGAAAACATGTGCGGTATTATGGCCACGTGACCAGTTGCACGTGAAAAAACACTTTTGCCACTATAGTGTTGTGCACATGATTTTGATCCATTCACCTGCACAAAAACTGGTGTTATCTGAAGACAGTACGTGGCCATTACTGTTTAAATACACAATAAGGGCCCACAATGATAACTGGTCAAAATGTTAAAATTTTATGATTGTGAAGTTTTTAATTTGGTTCAGTATATATATATATATATATATATATATTGCCAACGACTGGGTTTGCTTGAAGAGTGTTTTACAGATGGACGGATGACACACTTCTATCTGTTACTAAGTGTTGGGAGCGCTATTTGGGAGTAGTCAAATCATTGTTATTGATATTTGGGAAAATAGCAATACATTACCTTAATTTCTGCTGTGTACACATCTGAAACTGACAGCAGACCCCTTGTGTTCTCACAGTCGTCAGCATAGCAAGCACTCAGTGCAGCTGTAATCTGACAACACGGGTAGGAGAGTTCTCACATTCCTAACAGTTATTGTTTTGTTTGTAATAAGTTAGAACACTGTTCTTATTTCTTGTATATGTTAATGACATTGCAGATGAGTTTGATAGTATGACAAGACTCTTAGCTGATAATAAAGCGTTAAATGAACAGATACTAAATCTTTACTTAATGAAAGTAGATAATAGGACAAAATCCTGGCTTGAAGTGTTTATCAGACAACATGCATGGTTGAACTGAAACAAAAGCTAAACAAATTAATTAGGAAGCAGCAAGTACTAATCACAGGACTCCCATGCTACTCAAGACAAAAAATAGTATTTTTTTAATCATGACTTGAGACTTTAGCATCGTGAAGATCTAGATGCAAACTCTGTTTCATCTATAAATATACAACATAATTTGTCCAAACTCTCTCTGTTAATTATAACCTGATAACATGGTATCAACTCTATCTGATAACCTCTGTTGTAATGTAAAAGTGCCTGTCACTAGACTTAAACATTCACAAAATGCTTTCTTTTCAACAGCTGTCTAAATGAGGAATAATTCTCGATTTTAACAAGGTGTTAAAGAACATGTTCAAGGAGCGTCATCCTACAACCCATTTGGTACAATGCAGAAGATAAAACAACTTGCACACTCAATTGAGGTTCATTAATTCAGCTAAACAATGATCTGGTAGTGACAAATCAAGCTGCCATTGTTTTTGCAGTCTGTCAAAATATCCACCACAACTTTTTACAATGCAAACGTTGGAAAGGTCAAAATTATTGAGAAAATAACTAAAAAACATTGTGAACAATGTTATTCCTCTGGATTTGAACCTCGTGTTTCAACTTGTACAGCAGTACATAGAGTGGTAGACTGTGCTATACACTATATTGTACACGTACATATCCTATCTGTCCCTTCCCTCCTGTGTCTATTTCTGTCAACATTGTTAATCATGTGATACATACTTTGTAAACTCTATGGAGAAGGCTTACTAAGTTGTTACAACCTGTGACCATCAGTTTTACTTTGTAATTAACGTATGTTGAAACCAAGTCAGTACTCATGAACGTAATAAGCCTGGGATAAAGAAAACTTAAAGATGTCTTGGTGCAACATACGGTTGTTCCATCCTTGACTTTGTTAGCAAGCTCATCATCCAGGAAGTCGTCAGTGATGTCAGTCCTCGGTGTGCTCTCATATGCCCACTGACCATCCACTCGCCACAAAACATTATAGTGGACAATGCGGTCAGTGACATTCACTTTTGTGAAGTTACACATGAATGTATCATTACCAGGCCCTTTGAAACTGGCTACGATCTCAATGCTGCCCACACTCACACTCTCACGATCTGATGGGGAACCTGAAATTAGTGAAATAGCACAATAATTTAAGTCTCAGAAACGTAATAACATAATTTTAGTACACTGATGTTATCTCAAACATGATTATCTTAGGCCACACGGTTAATGGTCAATAGATCTTGTACAATCTCGGGAAGGTTAAAATAAAAAATAAAAATATTGTGTCAGATGTGTTTCTGATATTTCTTATTGCAATTTATTAGCACTTTGTTGATCAGTTAAACAGAGACAAGTAGATCTTTTCCTAATCTGCTGCTATATGTTTACTATGTTATCAGTACAGCCACACAGTTTTGTCAGGAAAGGTTGGTTCTCAATTTTAGTTGTGCTAATCATGGCCAATATGTACACTGTACATATGATCAGCCAGAGGATATGTACACTATACATATGTTCAGCCAGAGGCTATGCACACTATACATATGTTCAGCCAGAGGCTATGCACACTATACATATGTTCAGCCAGAGACTACCGGTATGTACACTATACATATGTTCATCAAAACACTATGTACACTATACCTATGTTCAGCCAGAGGCTATGCACACTATACATATGTTCAGCCAGAGGCTATGTACACTATACATATGTTCAGCCAGACACTATGTACACTATACCTATGTTCAGCCAGAGGCTATGCACACTATACATATGTTCAGCCAGAGGATATGTACACTATACATATGTTCAGCCAGAGACTATGTACACTATACATATGTTCAACCAGACACTATGTACACTATACCTATGTTCAGCCAGAGGCTATGCACACTATACATATGTTCAGCCAGAGGCTATGTACACTATACATATGTTCAGCCAGAGGCTATGTACACTATACATATGTTCAGCCAGAGGCTATGTACACTATACATATGTTCAGCCAGAGGATATGTACACTATACATATGTTCAGCCAGAGGATATGTACACTATACATATGTTCAGCCAGAGGATATGTACACTATACATATGTTCAGCCAGAGGATATGTACACTATACATACGTTCAGCCAGTGGCTATGTACACTATACATATGTTCAGTCAGAGGCTATGTACACTATACATATGTTCATCAAGACACTATGTACACTATACATATGTTCAGCCAGACACTATGTACACTATACATATGTTCAGCCAGACACTATGTACACTATACATATGTTCATCAAGACACTATGTACACTATACATATGTTCATCCAGACACTATGTACACTATACATATGTTCATCCAGAGGCTATGTACACTATACATATGTTCAGCCAGAGACTATGTACACTATACATATGTTCAGCCAGACACTATGTACACTATACATATGTTCATCAAGACACTATGTACACTATACATATGTTCAGCCAGACACTATGTACACTATACATATGTTCAGCCAGACACTATGTACACTATACATATGTTCATCCAGAGACTATGTACACTATACATATGTTCAGCCAGAGGCTATGTACACTATACATATGTTCAACCAGACACTATGTACACTATACCTATGTTCAGCCAGAGGCTATGCACACTATACATATGTTCAGCCAGAGGATATGTACACTATACATATGTTCAGCCAGAGACTATGTACACTATACATATGTTCAACCAGACACTATGTACACTATACCTATGTTCAGCCAGAGGCTATGCACACTATACATATGTTCAGCCAGAGGCTATGTACACTATACATATGTTCAGCCAGAGGCTATGTACACTATACATATGTTCAGCCAGAGGCTATGTACACTATACATATGTTCAGCCAGAGGATATGTACACTATACATATGTTCAGCCAGAGGATATGTACACTATACATATGTTCAGCCAGAGGCTATGTACACTATACATATGTTCAGCCAGAGGCTATGTACACTATACATATGTTCAGCCAGAGGCTATGTACACTATACATATGTTCAGCCAGAGGATATGTACACTATACATATGTTCAGCCAGAGGATATGTACACTATACATATGTTCAGCCAGAGGATATGTACACTATACATATGTTCAGCCAGAGGATATGTACACTATACATACGTTCAGCCAGTGGCTATGTACACTATACATATGTTCAGTCAGAGGCTATGTACACTATACATATGTTCATCAAGACACTATGTACACTATACATATGTTCAGCCAGACACTATGTACACTATACATATGTTCAGCCAGACACTATGTACACTATACATATGTTCATCAAGACACTATGTACACTATACATATGTTCATCCAGACACTATGTACACTATACATATGTTCAGCCAGACACTATGTACACTATACATATGTTCATCCAGAGGCTATGTACACTATACATATGTTCAGCCAGAGACTATGTACACTATACATATGTTCAGCCAGACACTATGTACACTATACATATGTTCATCAAGACACTATGTACACTATACATATGTTCAGCCAGACACTATGTACACTATACATATGTTCAGCCAGACACTATGTACACTATACATATGTTCATCCAGAGACTATGTACACTATACATATGTTCAGCCAGAGGCTATGTACACTATACATATGTTCAACCAGACACTATGTACACTATACCTATGTTCAGCCAGAGGCTATGCACACTATACATATGTTCAGCCAGAGGATATGTACACTATACATATGTTCAGCCAGAGACTATGTACACTATACATATGTTCAACCAGACACTATGTACACTATACCTATGTTCAGCCAGAGGCTATGCACACTATACATATGTTCAGCCAGAGGCTATGTACACTATACATATGTTCAGCCAGAGGCTATGTACACTATACATATGTTCAGCCAGAGGCTATGTACACTATACATATGTTCAGCCAGAGGATATGTACACTATACATATGTTCAGCCAGAGGATATGTACACTATACATATGTTCAGCCAGAGGATATGTACACTATACATACGTTCAGCCAGTGGCTATGTACACTATACATATGCTCAGTCAGAGGCTATGTACACTATACATATGTTCATCAAGACACTATGTACACTATACATATGTTCAGCCAGACACTATATATGTACACTATACATATGTTCAGCCAGACACTATGTACACTATACATATGTTCATCAAGACACTATGTACACTATACATATGTTCAGCCAGACACTATGTACACTATACATATGTTCAGCCAGACACTATGTACACTATACATATGTTCATCCAGAGGCTATGTACACTATACAAATGTTCATCCAGAGGCTATGTACACTATACATATGTTCAGCCAGACACTATGTACACTATACATATGTTCATCCAGAGACTATGTACACTATACATGTGTTCATCCAGAGACTATGTACACTATACATGTGTTCATCCAGAGACTATGTACATTATACATATGTTCAGCCAGAGACTACCGGTATGTACACTATACATATGTTCATCAAAACACTATGTACACTATACCTATGTTCAGCCAGAGGCTATGCACACTATACATATGTTCAGCCAGAGGCTATGTACACTATACATATGTTCAGCCAGACACTATGTACACTATACCTATGTTCAGCCAGAGGCTATGCACACTATACATATGTTCAGCCAGAGGATATGTACACTATACATATGTTCAGCCAGAGACTATGTACACTATACATATGTTCAACCAGACACTATGTACACTATACATATGTTCAGCCAGAGGCTATGCACACTATACATATGTTCAGCCAGAGGCTATGTACACTATACATATGTTCAGCCAGAGGCTATGTACACTATACATATGTTCAGCCAGAGGCTATGTACACTATACATATGTTCAGCCAGAGGATATGTACACTATACATATGTTCAGCCAGAGGATATGTACACTATACATATGTTCAGCCAGAGGATATGTACACTATACATATGTTCAGCCAGAGGATATGTACACTATACATACGTTCAGTCAGAGGCTATGTACACTATACATATGTTCATCAAGACACTATGTACACTATACATATGTTCAGCCAGACACTATGTACACTATACATATGTTCAGCCAGAGGCTATGTACACTATACATATGTTCAGCCAGAGGATATGTACACTATACATATGTTCAGCCAGAGGATATGTACACTATACATATGTTCAGCCAGAGGATATGTACACTATACATATGTTCAGCCAGAGGATATGTACACTATACATACGTTCAGCCAGTGGCTATGTACACTATACATATGTTCAGTCAGAGGCTATGTACACTATACATATGTTCATCAAGACACTATGTACACTATACATATGTTCAGCCAGACACTATGTACACTATACATATGTTCAGCCAGACACTATGTACACTATACATATGTTCATCAAGACACTATGTACACTATACATATGTTCATCCAGACACTATGTACACTATACATATGTTCAGCCAGACACTATGTACACTATACATATGTTCATCCAGAGGCTATGTACACTATACATATGTTCAGCCAGAGACTATGTACACTATACATATGTTCAGCCAGACACTATGTACACTATACATATGTTCATCAAGACACTATGTACACTATACATATGTTCAGCCAGACACTATGTACACTATACATATGTTCAGCCAGACACTATGTACACTATACATATGTTCATCCAGAGACTATGTACACTATACATATGTTCAGCCAGAGGCTATGTACACTATACATATGTTCAACCAGACACTATGTACACTATACCTATGTTCAGCCAGAGGCTATGCACACTATACATATGTTCAGCCAGAGGATATGTACACTATACATATGTTCAGCCAGAGACTATGTACACTATACATATGTTCAACCAGACACTATGTACACTATACCTATGTTCAGCCAGAGGCTATGCACACTATACATATGTTCAGCCAGAGGCTATGTACACTATACATATGTTCAGCCAGAGGCTATGTACACTATACATATGTTCAGCCAGAGGCT